AAATTTTTCAGATCTTCTGGGTCCAAAGAGCATTTCTACAGGCGTGGTTTTACTGTTGCTTCTTTCAAGTGACATAAGACAATGAGGAGGAGGCATTAATCCCCCCTTGCCATTTTTATACACCAGGAGGACCAAGGAATCAGTGAAGAAGCTGTTGCGCTGATGGACCTGTCTAAGCATCTTGTCCAGGTGCTCCAGCCGTGCCAACTGGAAGCTCATCCAAGAAATTCAGCCAGGCCTCATTCTGAACGTGTTACCTGGTTCAGCTGCTATAGCTTTGGAGTCTAAGTCCAGGAGGACACTAGAGGCACCCAGCAAATGTGTTACAAGCCCCAGACAGATTCAGCCTGCCCTGGACAAGCCTGGTTTTCTCAATCAGGACTCCGGCTCTCTCCTATTTTTTGCCACTGCTCTCAGTTCCAAGGCCTGCCATGGAGCCACCTGAGGTCCAATACAAGAGTTTGATTGCCTGGGGGATTTCTGCATTCCAGAGGCTGACCATGGTTTCAACAGGAGTACAAGCCAAGCCGTATCAGCCAGAAAACCTGCCAGAGCCACGCAGAAGCTGCCCAGACCCATTATCCCCTGGGGTGGACTCTCTTGATAGGCCCTCCATTCTTGCAAAGGGGAAAAGCTGACACCAGTCCAAACCTCAACAGACATTTTATATTTTGGTACTTGGGTCTCTCCAACTAGTTATCATATCTCGTCATAAGCTCGTGGCTTATTTCCTCCCCTCCTACTTTTGGGCAACCAGAAACATTTCCCTCTTCATCCAATATGGATAATTTACTCTGAACCAGATGCTTCCCAACCCTCTCTTCTTCCTTTTTAATAATTTTTATTTTCCCAACATATACAATTACATAGAAGAAAAATACAGAACAAAGGAAAAAGTAACAAACAGAACAGACTGAAGTGAGCAAAATAAAGTTGCCAAGGGAATTACAAACAAACACAGCCCATGTACTGCAGTCCCCAGAACCAACTCTCTTCATATCTTCCCACGCTCGATGAGAGTTTGCAAAAAAGAAAAAATATTATTCTATACATCAACAGATTTTCTAACCAGTTCAAATTCTAATGCTTTTCCTTTTTCCCTTCTAAACCCCCCTGGACTTCCATTAATCATGCTAAGCACGGTAAAATTTCCATTTGTCATTAAATTCCTCTAACAGTCTTCTATTTACGTAATTAGTTAGATTTGCCATCACTGCAGATTTGGCTAATCCCTTTCTCCCTTCTTCAATGCTTGGGGGCTCTGGTGATTTTCATTTTGAAGCTATTGTGATTCTTGCTGCTGTAGTCATAAACTGTACATAAATAACTCTGACACATTTCAGAAGGACCTCTAGCACGATATTCAAAAGCACATTCTTGGGACTCATAGGAAACTTAATTTTAAAGATTTTCTACATTTCTACATCAGAAATGTATCAATTTCCAGAATTTTTGTGTTATTTCACAACTTCACCACATATGATAGAAGGTCCCATCTACCCTTTTATATTTCCAACATTTTGCATTATAATTCTTATCTATTTTCCCAATATCTTTATTGGTAATATACCACCAATAAAACATCTTTTACCAGTTTTCTCTGAATGCTTGACTAGCAATTAATCTTTCTTTCAAAGAGCTTCCTACTGACCAGATGATACTTCTTCACCAAGATTGTTTCCAAATTGTCGTGTGTTTCTTATCTTGATGTCTTTCACTGTCATAGTGTAATAAGAGTTTGTAAAGTCTTCTCAGTAAGTGATCATTCTGCTGTGTAAGCAACAGTTCAAAACCTGTCAGATCTCTCAAAATCCCTTCTCCTGGTTGTGTTTCCTTCAGTCTTGCAATATGAAGGATAGTAAACAAGCCATTGTATATTTTTCTGTTCATCTTTCAGTTTTTGCCAAGGTTTAATTCATCCTAATATGTCAATGACATCTCGACGTTATAAGGTCATTACAGTGGTACCTCAGCTCACGAACACCTTGGTTCATGAACAAATCGATTCACGAACAAAAATTTCTGAAAAATTTTGACTTGGTCGCAAACACCACTTTGGGTGGTGATCAAGATCACACCAATCTCCCCCACCACCACAGAGTGGGGAGATGACCGCGATCACAGTTCCATTGCTTTCGTGCAGGGAAGGTGTGTGTGATCAGAGACGCGCTGCTGCAGGAAAGACGGGAGCAGCAAAGCAGAGCCGCGGGGGAGATGGCCGAGATTGCGCCTGTCTTTCCTGCAGGAGCGCGCCTCTGATCAGGCATGCCTTCCCACATGAACGGAACTGCAATTGTGGCCATCTCCCCACCCCCAGCACATCATTTGCGCCCATCTCTCCCTCCCCCAGTGCGCCCACGATCATGCCTGTCTCCCCCCCCGCCACCCCCAGCACGCCATGATGACGGGCACCTGCAGGGATGACGGGCGCAATCTCGGTCATGCTGGGGGGGCGGGGAGATGGCCGTGCTTGTGCTCGGGGTGGTGGGGAGGGAATGGCCACGATCTTTGTTGTTTTCACTTTGCTTCACATTTTTCTGATTTAAAAAATGGTTACAGAATGGATTAACCTTATTTACATTGAACGTTATGGGGAAATTTAACTTGGCTCATGACCAATTTGGGTCATGACCAGAGTCCTGAAACGGATTAAGTTCGTGAGTCAAGGTACTGCTGTATTTCTCCTTGTTTTCCATATGCTTCAACTGGGGACATCATGGGGGAGACAATCCATAAAAACAATGGTGCCCTGTTACCCAGCCAAATTTGCCCCGATCCTGAACCAACCACCCCAGTGGGCACAACTGTGAGAGAACATCTCTGTTTACCCACCTAGGTCCTGGTTATACATATCAGCCAGTTAGTTGATGCTTCATGTATCTAAAAGTGGATGGTGTTCATGAAAATGTATGCCAGAAGAAAATTAAGTACTTTAAGTGCCACAAGACTCTGCTGTAGATACTTGCAACTCTACTGTAGAATTCTGTAGATTCTCTGTAAAGGCAAAGGTTTCCCCTTGACATTAAGTCCAGTCATGCCTGACTCTAGGGGGCGGCGCTCATCTCTTGCTTCCTAGCCGAGGGAGCCAGCGTTTGTCCGCAGACGGTCTCCATGGTCATGTGGCCGGCATGACTAAACACCGAAGTGGCACCTTTTTATCTACCTACATTTGCATGCTTTCGAACTGCAAGGTTGGCAGGAGCTGGGACGGAGCAACGGGAACTCACCCCGTTGTGCATATTCGAACAGGCGCGCTTTCGATCAACCAGCCCAGCAGCACAGCGGTTTAAACCGCTGCGCCACCTGCAGTCCTAGATTCTCTGTAGAGACTTGCAATGCTGCTGCTGAACAACCTCCTAGTCTTAGATCAGATCAGAGTGAATGACCTGCTACACTGATAATATTGCTAAAGGAATATATTTGCATACTGTACTGTGTGCCAGACCGGCTTGTTAAGAACTATTGTATTTATAGCCTGTTGCAGCACGTTAGGAAGGAACACAAAGTTTATCATAGCCAACATTTAAAAACAAAGCAGTTTGGGGGTGGGGGGGATTTCAAGTGTAGTTTTATTGCAACCAAATCACTTCTGCATGTCTACACAGACATAGGATTTTAGTTTATGCGGCTGAGCATCTTCAGTAGGTGAGAATGAATCACTTTCTACATTGTGAATATTACTAAAGAAGTTTGCAGTTCTGCAGCATTTTCCTTTGTGCTTTTGTCCTACAAGTTTATTCTTATGGAAGTTTAGATGCTAGAAAAAATGGTGTGTGTGTGGAAACTGGATACAGATTAACCTTTTGCATTAACTTCACTGGAAGAGAGAACCATGCCTGCTGCTACTCACTACCTTAACGGCTGAACCTTAGATATGCAGAACTATTTTTAAAAGGAGGAAGGTAACCAAGTAGTGTGCAAATTTTATTTGCATTTGGTTTTTCCTAACACCTTTCCTTGTGACCAAAACAACCTGAAACATGCAGAACTGTAAAAAAGAGAAAGAACTGTGCAGCTGTATTTTGTTCACAGTTTCCATTGCACAGAGCACCTGGAGCAGTTTGGCTTTTTCACAGACTGTGTAGGAAGAAATCCTAAACACACCTGAAATAACCATCGAACACCCTACAGGTAACTCCAGATGAGAACATTCAGTTTTAGCTCCTGCCCCATTCAGTCCAGATCAATTACTCATAATCAATAGAGCTGCCTTGTCTTGCTTGCTGATTTTTCTTAGGCTCTCTCTCTCCTGCATTCTCTCCTTTCTCTTACAACACGATTTCCACACCATCGTCAATACACGCAACTGGAGGGGCCTGAAAACAGCTCGGATGCCCACCCAACAGCGCCCACACGCAGGCCTCCGTTTGATGACCAACCTCTTGCTTCATAATCTGCATTTCCTCCACTACCAAACCAATTTTAAAACCAGGAAGTAGGCCTTTGCATGTATGCGCATGGCGATTTGCAGTGCAAGCAGCTATGAACAGCAGAGGTAGATCTGATACCTAAAAAGCTCTCAGGTCTTCAGGCAAAGTGCTTCTGAAATCAAAGAGCAAACGGTCATAAGCAAGACAGGAGAGTTTTCGCCCCCGCTAGTATTGGGTCCATTATTTCTCCAACAAGGAATGAGAATGTATCTTGTGCATGGACCTCCTTCAGCCAGCAGGTGGCGGGCTTCCCTAAGCGGCCTACACCTGGCAGTCAACTCCAGAGTTCGAGCCCTTTGGAGAGGAGGGCCTGGAGCAGAGATCCCCCCCTCCCCAATGGCTGTGGAGGCAGGAGCCATGCCTAGATGTGCCAGCAGGCCTGGCCCCACTCGGAGTAAGCACACTGCTTGAAGTCTTTTTGGTACTGAACCAAGGGCTGTTCCAACCTGTAAGAAGTCCCTTTTCGTAATACGTCTACCTCAGCACCAATAAGGTGCCCACAATACGGGTGTCAAGTGGAGCACAGCCCTCTTGTTGGACCAGGCGGATAAAAGCAGATTCAGAAAGGGCCAGGGTCACACTTTACATTTATTTGTAGCTATTATTTATTTTTTTTAAAAAGACAATGTAAGGGAAAACACACAAGGACCCAAAAGACCAGGTCTAAGTGCCATCAAGTTTTGGAAGGAGAGACACGTATGCAGACATGCTCGTGTTCTCTCTCTCTCTCTCTCTCTCTCTCTCTCGCACTTTCTTGTACACACACCCACACACACTCATTCCCCTCTGTAGAAAAGAGATCACCTTTTCCCTTGCGCGTGCGCGTGCGCGCGCTCGCGCGCTCTCTCTCTCTCTCTCTCTCTCACACACACACACACACACACACACACACACACACACACACACACACGACATGGCAGACAGCAGTTTAAGACACTCTCCCTCCCTCTCCCCCGTTACTCAAATGCTTTGTCTCAGCCATAAGGGGACAGGAGGGACAGGCCAAAATCTCTTTGGGACAGTGCTGAGGCAAGGCAGACGACACGGCCCCCTCGGCTGCAGACAGCGATCCCCGTGTTGGCAGCAGTGAGGAGAGACGAGGAGCTTCCCAAGAAAGAGGTGCTGGGGGGCGGGAAGCACCTCTGAGGAGAGGGCCCAGCCATCCCATCCAACAGAGGCCAGCGAGCAGAAGTGGTATGTCCGTTCCTCACACAGGCAGGTTCCACTGAAGGGTGCGTCCTCCTCCTGGCGGAGAAGCGCTGTTCCCAAGACCACGTACCATCCCGGCACAGGGGGAGCTCTCTCTACCCTCCCAGAGAGTCAGGCTACCCCCCTCCGTGCTCGCCAAGGTACAGGGTGCGAGGCGGGTGCTGCTTGGCTGAGGACAAGGAGGGCCGGTGGGACCGCAGAGCTGCGCGGGCTGCTTTCCCAGAGAAGGCCTGCGGGGAAGGCTGGGTGCGGTTGTCCGGGGCGGCATTCTGGCGCCTCAGGAAGGGGGGCACAGTCGAGCTCTTGATGTGGATGACGCGGGTGTCCATGACTTCACAGTCTATCTGCATCATCACCTCGTAGCCGAGGGAGGAATTGTACAGGCTTTCTGGGAAGGGAAAACAAAGCGCCCTGAAGGAGTGGGAGAGGGGTCTGCGTAGCGCTGCCCCAGGCTCTCCCACAGAACACCCCCCACAGCCATCCGCGCCACCCACACGCTTCTTCCCGTTACCGTTGAGGGCCATGGCTGGCATCACCAGTGACATTTTAGGGCGAGAGGTTTTGTTGTGGCTGATGGCGGGCAGGAGCAGGTGATCCTACGACAGACAGACAAAACCTCATCACCATCATTAATATACATTGCAGTGGATCAGGCGCGTCATTTCTAATTGCATCGTCTGACCCCTGCTGCCCAAGTAGGAGATTCTACAAGCAAATGCCTCTGAGAAAATTCCAGTTTTAAAAGTAAGATTCCAAGAGCCAGTGTAATGCAGCTTGGCCTCCTGGCCTGAGGGTAACAAATATATTTCATCTGATGCCTGTCAGAGGAGAAACCACAATACCAGGCCCTTGGATGGGAAAGGAATCCAGACAAAGAGATGCCCACATTAAATGCACAGCTTTGTCTTCTCAGCATTGTTAAAAAAAGCTTCAAAAAGGATTGGCTTCATAACCATATGGGGTAGCAAAGAAATGGAATTAAGCAAACAAACATAAATAGGCAGGCTACTGAATAAACAAACTACAAGGCACACCCCAAATCACAACACACAACAGGCATTCAATGAGAAAGCAAACTCGCAAAACCGGATGGAATTAAGGAAACAATTTTGCCTCACAAACAAATGGAAGAATAAACATGGTGGCACATATATGCTGCTACAGTCAAGGAAATAAGTAATAAATATTTATCTTGATAAGAAGAACTTTAGAGTTGAAATAAAATTGCTCCACAGTTTGAACTATGCTTCTCAGTTCAAACTGCGAGCAAAGTGAAAAATGTGGTCACAGTGAAAGGGTCATCAGTTGTGTGCCCAAGTTAAAAAAAAAAAAAGCCTCGATGTCGTGAATTGATTTGTCTTGGCTAGAATCGATTTGTCTTGTCTTGGACATTAGGGCAGCCACGACAGTGCTGGGGTAAGTGTGTTCGAAGCAAGGGGGAGTATTCTGCAAGGGATTAATGGCAATGTGCCTTTTACTGTAATTTCTTTTATTTAAACATTCACTGTATTTTTTGATCACATCTCATATATACCCTTGAACTTAATTTGTTTCAGGAGGCCGTATTTGCTGTTTAAATTTACCGAAATGGGTATTGTTTAGGGTCTAATTCACTTTCCATTATTTCTAATGGGGAAAATTGATTCTGATTCTGAATAATTCAGAGTTCAACGGCTTCCTGAAACAAATTAAGTTCAAAGTATTGTACCTCCTTCTACATAAAACTGCAAAACCAATCTAAAAATATATTCATTACTAATATTTTTATTTTGCTTTTTTCCTTTCAAGGCACTCGGAGCAGCTTAAATAATTCTCTTCCTCTCAATTTTATCCTCATAACCACCACCCTGTGAGGTAGGTTGGGCTGAGAATCTGTGACTGGCCCAAAGTCACCCTGTGAGCATCATGGCTGAGCAGGAACTAGAACCCAGATAGATCTCTGGAGTTCCATCCTGCACTCTTCACCGCCACACCAGCTCTCGCTTTTGTAGCTTCCAAAATATATATATGAAAGAGATCCGAACGTGCAAGCGCAGGATTTGCCTTCTTTGACTAGCATCTCCACTGCGAGGCCTGCAGAATCAACCTGGGAAGCTTGATACCAACTACCACTAAAACATTATGGAAGCATTTAACTATACTTAGAAGCCTCATGATGTTAAATGCGTTTGCATCTGTGCATGCAGGTGCTTTATATATACAATTTCTATGCTGATATATTTATAATTAAAGAAAGGCAAGAGGCAAATGAGAGAGTGTTCTGGCAGTAAGAATTCTGCATAACCCACATCAAGAGCTAACCCTAACCCTAAACTTGCTTTAGGATGTGATCTGCTTTTGTGAGAATTCCACGCACACATGCACAATGAACTGGTATTGGCAGTGTATTTTGAGAGCACCTCTGAATGAGGGCAAAATGTCACAATGCGGATCCCTTATCCTTTTCATTTCCTCCTTTATTAGAACGGCATGCCAGGAGAACTCTTTGTGCCTCAAAAATTGGAGCCCCACACAATATCAAGGCATGACTGTGCCAGCCACACAGCCTTCCCGGAGGCTCCAGGCCACGCCGGGATTCTGCACTCACCCTGCGGAAGGACACCACATAGAAGGTATCCTCTCTCCGGTCAATGGCATCCATGAAGTCATGCTCTTTATGGTCCGGGTGCTGATACACCTGCAGCTGACTCAGAGAATCCCTGGAAGCACAAAGGAGGAGACAGCGCAGAGAGGCCTTCTGTAAATGGGGTGAGTCTCCCACCCCTTACACACTTCAGTTATGGGCACAAGAATGGGGTCTGCACCGGGGAAAGGAAGGCGGTGAGCGAGCTACACAGAGAAGAGCATGAGGCTGCTGCTGCCATGGCTCAGCTGAGCCAAAAGGTCCACTTATAAGCTAGAAGCTTTGGGACAGATATTTAAGAGGCCAAAGGCAGGAATGATCTTTGGTGCTTCTCTCAGGGCAAACACGATGCCAGCGAGGATTGCAGATCATTACCAAGCTCCTTCCTACCCTGTGTGGCCTTGAGCTACAGCTGGGGAAGCTGGAAGGAGAATCAATTGGCCCCTTGGGAGAGAACATCAGGGAAAGCCAAAGGCTTGGACCCCGGAAACCTGAACAGAATTCCCTCTCTACAGTGGCCTCCACATGAGGATCCTGGCAAGTCACACTCTCCTGGGGTCGGTTCCTGAATAACAAGACTCATTCACACATGGATCACTCAACTCCTCAAGGGCTGCATGTGCAAATCATCCCCACATAAAAGGAGGAAAGTGGCATCTGTAACGCTACCTGGGCGAACAGACAGTCCCAGAACTATCACATGATATGGCAGCAGTCATCAAGCAAGTTGAAGAAATATTGCAGAAGCAAGGTTCTGCGAGTTGCAAAACCTTGGTTTCCCAATGTGCTCTAAATGGCAACAAGGCACAAAGGGAAAGAGAAACAACACAATGACCCACATAGTGTATAATAAAACCTTGAGTATTATTGTTGAACTGTGGCTTATTGTGTTGTCTGAACCCAGCTGTCCTAACAAGCCGTGGCTTGCTAATCATATACAACCCATGAAGAGAATCCATGGTCTGTTGCTGGGATGTGAACTGTGGGTTGTTCTCCATAGCTTGTTATTTAGGCAACACAATAACCCAAGTTTCATCAACAATTCACAATTCAATGACAACTTATGCGCAATCCTTGAGTGTGAGTTATCATGTATTTGTATTTTAATTTAGCATTTAATCAGCAATACTAATATATGATGAACAGAAACACATGAGGCACACATATACTGGGACAGATGCAGCTTCTGGGCAACCTGATTGCTAGAGCAAGGAGAAATTGCTCGAGGAGGCGTCAGTGGAAGCACTCATAAGAACTGAAGGAACTGGATGCATGGACTGCCCAGAGCCTATGGGAATGGGCTGGTATATAAATATTAAGATAAATAAAAAGATGAAGGAGGCCGGTTACAGAGGAGACCCATAATGGAAAAGCAAAAGTGCAAGCTAACTTAAGAGGGTCCAGCACAACTGCAGTTTACCTCTCTGTACGCCTGGGATGGCTGGCAGGCACATAGTGGGCGGGGCTTGGAGGATTTCGTTGTGGTTTGTCCTGAAACGCAGAGCACACAGGTCGAAGGCAAGGATGAGGGAGGCTGCAGCAAGAGAGGCATCGGAGCATCCCTCCCCCACATCGCCACCCCCACCGCCCCTGCAGAAAGCTGTATCGTCATCCTGGACGCCCCGTCCCGTCTCTGTGCTCATCACCCTGTGCACACGTCCCTCCCCTCCCCTCCCCGCCCGCCATGCCACACCTGACTGGCCTGGGCTGCCTTGTGCGACTGAGGGGGCTTCTTCCGGTTGGTCTGGTGTCGCCGGACCCAGCCACTGAGCTCGTCTGCCAGCCTGGAGAAGGAAGTGCCGGAACAAGGAAGTTGGCTTTATGGCGCCCAGCAAGCACTGCCACCAGACCTGCTAAGGTGGGACCTACCGGAGAGATTCAGTGCGGTTGAACTGACGGCAACCCGAGGCCAGGAAGAGCTTGTCCAAGTCCCTCAGCATGAGGTCCTTCGTCTCAGAGAAGGGAGCCGACAGGTTCCTGGGAGCGGGGGCAGGATGAGATATTCCCATGTTACAAATGGGAAACAGGCAGGCGCTTTATTCAGTTTTCTTAATTCCACCAAAGAATTCATTCTAATGTATCATATCACTTTCATTTTGGAGTCGTGGCTTTGGTATTCTCTCTCCAATGTACTGTGTTTTGTGTAAATTGCCAGCTGTTCTGGGATCTTGGTGTGGAAAGCACAACTTAAATGTGTTTTTAAAGAGTGGATTAACAGCAAAAGAAACAAACATGGACTTAAAAAGCAAATCATAGAGCCAAGAAATGAGGAACTCGTGCCAGGTTCATAAATAGCTCGGAAACACCGCAATATCAAACATCAGTGTCAAAACTGCGAGTAGCTAGACACCCACAAATAAATTACTGTTTGTTGATATTTCTCCCTCCATGTACAGGGGCACACTCCAAATGATTCGGAAGGGGGAAGTGCAGTCACTCCTTTTCTTCCTCATGCTGTTATCTCTTCCCTACCTGTGCCATGCACCCAAATTACCGGAATTGTGCCCTTCCTGGCCTGGTCAGGGCCTCCTCCTGCCGTTCCTCCTGCTGCTCCTCTGGAATGTCGTGAGATTCCTCTGGAATGCTTAGAAGGTGCCTCTGGGCTGGGCCGGAGTCCACATCCAGTTTTGATAGGTCCACCTCTGCTGCCTTGCGCTCACTGATGCTGCAGAGAAGGGCGAGCAGAGTCAACACCTTGGAGGTTCTGAGATTCCTCATCAGAGAGTTTTGGTCTGTGCAGCAAAGTTAATTGTCCTGACACCAACCGTCCCCATCCCACAGCGCGGAAGTAAAAAGGGGTGTTTCACACCACAGTGTACAGGCCACCATGGTTCTTCCTGAATCCGCCCAGATAGTTGGAGACAGGAGGATGAGGGCTAAAGCAAGTCGATGCAAACGCCACACAACTATCAGCAATAGCAAAAGGTTTCCTGGATAATCAACTGTCATCCTTCTGGACAGCAAAGCCGGTTAGATTTAACACCGCTGTGAAGGAATGCAGAAAAGAAGCAGGCGTACTGGAGCACTGAACCTCTGCCAGCCCAAGGGCCAAGTTGCTTTTTGGAGAAGCTCTTGGGAGCCCCATTCCAGGTATGGGTAGCAATGGAGACAAAAGAGAGTGGGACAAAAATAGAGCTCTTATAGCCAATTCTTAAGTTTTAAGAGAAGCATTTCAATAGAGGAAAAAACCCACAAAAATGTCAGGAAACTATGAAAAGATCAGCTGGGAAAAAGAGTAGGGAGGCAAGGGAAGGGGTGTGGCCATCTGAGGAATCTCCGCACCCTGGACTGGAATCCCAGGCCTCTGGCACTGCCCACCTCTGACATTCATGGTCAATCCATACAAAGAAGTGAGGGAAACTGGCATTAAGTATTTTTTCACCACTCACTGTAGCAAAAATTGTTACTTATTGTAGCAAAAAACTAGAGTGGACTCAAGCCGACTGAATTAGATGAATAACGCTTTGTCTTACTTGGAAAATACACATGGAGAAAATGAGTTCTGACAAATGGAGCCAAAGGCGAGTGCATAAAAGATAAGAAGAGCAATCCATGATGTGTGACTTTCTAATGAGCCCCTCACAAAAATGTTAAGGCCAAAAAAAAAAAAAAAAGTCCTGTGGAAGCAGATTTAATAGGCAGCCTATGATCTTGCAAGAAGAGAGTTGATCCCAGGTCAAATGCTTCCTGAACTAGTCTGGTGCGTTTAGCTTGATACCCAGCAAGTGTACACACGCCCAGAGAAAACATTGGCTAATCCCACTCTCTCTCACGCACACACACATTTCTTGGGGCTTCGGCAACTTCAGGACAAGAGAATGATTAGGCAGGCTACTTATTAACTAGACTGAGGATGAATTGCCCACAGAGCTGTGGAACCTCACCTGACAGGCCCAAAATTGAAGGCTATGAAGAGCAGCACAACCATGACGCAGATGACTTTCCTGTTCCCGGAGCCAAACTTCAGCTCGCTGTTCTAAAGGGGAAGAGAGAATTGCTTACTGCCTGTTTAGGAAGGCCACCGTCCTTCCACATGCTGGAACTGTATGTCAGTGACTCCATCGCTGGCCTCATGTTGTTATGCCACAGCACTAACACAACCCTAACAGACCTCCTGCTTGACAATTCACACAAAGGGGCCAAATGGCAACACGTCCAGCTCAACAAAGCTGTTATTCAAAGGACCAAAAAGTGTTTCTTAACGGCCTGCATCTGAGCTACATTATTTAAGTTTCAAAAAAATGGGAACCAACTGTTAATTTTTCAAGGAGAACATGCTGTTCTTCATTAAATGATGGATTAATTAACTGCTGTAATACTGAGATAAAACATACAAAACATTTACTGGGGGGCAAGTGCTATAACCTTTGTAAATTTTGCTATAGTTTTATTATGTTTTAATATTATTGGTTGCATTTGTTTTTCATACTGCAAATTGGCCTGGAGTTTGAGGAAGGGTGTTATCTAATAGTATAAATAAAAATTTAAATAAAAAACAACATAAATAATGCAGAGGAAATGTAAGCACTGCAGTTCTGGTGGGGCAACTGTTCACAGATACGTGTGATTTGTCCTTACTCACTGAAATGCATCAACACCCATCTGCCTGGCCCAGCCCAGCCCAGCCCAAGAAGCAATGCAGATCTGGGAAAGCAGCAAGTCTTAACCTGCCAATGTCCCCAGCAAGGGAAGGAAATGTCATCATCACTACTTCACTGTTTTTTCCTGCAAGGAGATGCAAGGCAACTCTCACCAAAACCAGGGCAAGGGCAACCGCATGTGCAGGGTCAGGCCCAGTGGCCATGGGAGGCTGAGCGGGAACAGCCATGACTCCCATGCTTAGAGTACACAGCCAGAGAAGGAAAATGGGGAATGAGAGGGGAGGTGGGCAAAGGATGGAGTAACTATTCTGGAGGAGAGCCTGGCTGGCTGGACCATAAACACAAGTGGTCCTTTTACAAGATGAGGATGCCCTGCCATGTCCTTGCAGGCCCCGCTTATACACAAAACCCTGTAAGCTGGCAGGTACTCACCTCATTCAGGACACAGTCCAGGCGGCGGCGGAGCACTGTGTTCTCCCGTCGGAGTCGCTCGTTCTCTGCCAGAGCCTCCCTCAGCCGGGACTCCAACCCTTGCAGGTATTCTTTTTTTTTCCGCCGTGACTGGCAGGCCGACTCGCGGTTCTTAATCATCCGTTGTTGCCTTTTTAGCACCTTGAGCTTGAGGGAATTAGCAAGGAAAAAAATGGAATTCATACATGCTCTAATAATATCACATACATACTGTAATAATGATCATTGAACCTTGTAAGCAGTGACGGTATTTCCCACTAAGTTAATCTACAGAATTTGAGGCCAGAGAAAGTGGCTACACATTACTATAAGATGCCTCCAAAAAGGCATGGTGGATTGACTGATCAATAGCTACTGATCACCCAGAAAATATTAGAACTTATCAAGCAGTCATTACTGGCATGCCCTTCCTGCGAAGCTCCTGTGGCCAGACCCTGTCGGAAGGCAGCGTGCTGACCTGATCCTACTGAAGCTGCATGTTGCTGAGAGGTGCAGGTGGGGGCAGGACCCTGGGGCAGGGCGGAGAAATTCCAGGCAGGGGCAGCAGAAAGACGGGGTCCGTGAGTCAACACTAAAAGCCACGACTTACATCTATCTCTTGGCTGCAGGGCCCTATTTGTGTTGGTGCGGGGACAATGGTTTTGGCTTCTGGTTTAGGAGCGGAGGGAGCCGGTTTTGCTGGAAGACTTTCTTTCACAGGAGACTGAACCTTAATCAGTCCCGACACTGGAAGATGCAGGAGGTCAGACTGAGAAATCACAACACTCTGTGCTGGAATCAAGGAAAAAAGAAGCAATGCCATGTCAATTCCATCCCCATGTCGGCCACATATACATCACAGGCTTCGTCCCTCAAGAAATGGTCCCTTCCCCACGTCATTTCAAGAAAAGGAAGATTTGTGGCCACAGAACACTTGCAGGCTGTTCGCTGCATTTGGCTGCAGTTCGACCCTGGATTTAAGTGTGGCTTTATTAGCCAAGCTCTGCCCTAGAGATCCCTTTGTTATCAGAAGAGAGGCTTCCTTCCCTGGTTACCTGAAATTCCTGGGTTGATCGTCTGTGACTGAGTTACAGGTACAGGCTGCAATAAGATGGTCTTACTCGACGTGGGCGCTGGCTGCACTGGGACAGTAGTTACAACAACTGGCTTTGGCTGAATAGGGGGCTTCCGGCTAAGAATGCTCTCGGCTTTGTTGGAAGTTGCTGGCTTCCCTGCGACAGAATGTGGCCATCAATGGAAAAACAAACACTCCCTTTTCTTATAACTCTCCTAATATTTGTCAGAAATTTTTCATGGATGAAAACAGAAATGACATGCCTATTTGTACTGGTGCAGGGACAAAGGTTTTGGCTTCTGGTGACATGCCCTCATTTCCAGAAGCAGCTTCCTTCCTGCCATCGGCTGTCTTGAGGTAAAAATGTCAGGAGTTGGCACAAACGAAGTGAGAACTGATAGATTGCTCCATTGTTTCATGCCAGCTCAAGGAGAACCAAGTGGAGAAAAACTGATGCTTCAACTAGACAATACGCCATTCATGCCATCAGCCACTATGCAAATGGTGTCTCACTTATTCTGTACCCAAGAATATTATTCTGAATACACATACACTTCATTTATGCCTTGGAAGCAAGATCCAAGCCAGCTGCTAGCAAAACCCTCAGCTGGGGCATTCATTAGTGTTACCAGACTCTCCAGAACTCCCATCACATGTCCTTAATTTTCGTACCAAGTAATTTCCACAACATTTGTTTAAAGTCTGATCCAGTTTCACACCACTTTCTATTTAACATATACCTCAAGCAGTTTTGTATTATCAAGAGAAAACAAAAACTTCAAGATGTCAATCCTGCAGGCAGTGAATGTCATGCATGTGCACAAAGAAGTGATCTAAGTAGTTAGGGGATGAATTTGCCAACTATTAGGGTTTTAACGAACACTGGGCTTCTGTGAGAAATTGGTTTGTTCTGCATTTATTTATTTTTATACCCCTTCCGGGTGGTTAACAAAAGTTACAACGAAACCAATGTTAAAAAGACATACACATTAATTTAAAAGATTTAAAAACCCATGTGTGAAACATCCATTTAGAGTTCCCCCCCTCCAAAAAAAAAAAGAAAAAAAGAAAAAGAAACCCCACACATGATCAACATGGAGAAGGGTTCCAGACTGTTGTCCGGAGGCAGCTCCAGGTGAGGCCACCCGGTGAGCAAGTAGGCTGGTCAGAAAGAAAGAAAGTTATATATTGACTCAAACAAACCAATATCCCTCCTGTTTTCTTAATTTGCACTGTATTTTTCTAGGCACTCATCTTTTTCTTCCAAAAAACATGCATGACCCACCAGCCCTAGAGGTCAGGTTGACTCACGCAGAGGCAGCTCGGGCTTTCGGGGCCTGACAGAGTCTTAGAGCCACCCAGCTCCTTGGAGCAGCTCAAGGTTCCACCTGCACCCACTCCTCTGTAAGGTACCTGGCTCAGGAGCTGGGACTACGCTGATGTGCACAGCACCAAAGGGAGGCGAGAGGACATCTCCAAACATGCATGGCGGTGTGGGAGGGTGCTCCGTTTTCACGCCGATCACTTCCACTGGGCTGGGGGCCTGCGAGGAAAGCACAAGTCTCAACTAAGAGTTTGAAGTGAAGGGACAAGATTCTCTCCACAAAGAGTTCTCTGACAACACACCTGCCCTGGTAGATCAGTGGAGTGGGAGGAAGAAGATGCTGCAGATGAATCAGAGGATGAGGCAGACAAATCGGAGCAATGAGACGAGGCAGGAGAGACAGGCTCAGACTTCACCTGCAGCTCTAAAGGGAAAAGGAGAACAATTTACGAAACATGCTTTCACTCCCAGCCAGCACATTCAAGAGACCGTGCTGCCACTCCCAACTATCTTCAAGGCCAAGATCATCCATGCTATTGCATTCCTGATCGCTATATAGCAGTATGAAAGTTGGACAGTGAAAACACCTAGCAGGAAGGATGGTGGTGCTGGAAGAGAACATTACAAATGCCCTGGAATGACAGAAAGACAAACAAGTGGGTCCTAGATCAAATCACGTCAGAACCCCTTTCTGGCTAATGGAGCAGGATATAAATCAAATAAATAAATAAAATTGCCCTGAAAACAAACATGACAGAACAGATGCTATCATACTTCAGGTATCTCATGAGATGGCAAATCTTACTAGGGAAAGTCATACACAGAAGAAGAACAGGAAAACGAAACAGGAGATGGATCAAGACCATAAAGGAAGCCACGGCACTGAATTTACAAGAGCTCGGCAGGGCAGTGAAGCACCAAACATTTTGGAGGGCACTCCCTTCATAGGGTCGTTGTAGTAAGTGCGGGAGAACTTTGAAGCACATAACAACAATTATCTCCTCTCTCCACCAAACAGCCTCATACATTTAATATTTCACCCCTTTCACTGTAGCCAGTGCCTGGCAACACTGAACCTTCAAGGAAACTGTGACCGCCATGGGGTTAAAACCTTGACATTCTTGCTCCTCGTCAGCTTTGGTAGCCGCCCACTGGTTCTGCAGGGATGACTAAATTTCAAACAACCCACCACAAGCCACAGCGTTATTATAGGAACACCCTAAAACAGATCAGGGATTACATTTGTTTAACCTCACATAACCTACACTCACCAGGTTCACATGACCCAATGGCCCCCAAGCAGGGGCTGCATATTTAAAATGGGGGTAGCAGGGGCCGTGCACACACAGCAGCCTCAGCATGGACTAAATAACCTTGAGTTAAATTATTAGGATAATTAAATTAAATTAAATGATCCTCAGGGGGTCATTTAGGGCTGCTCACACAAACCATGATGAGCTGTCTTAGTGTGCAAACAGCCCCAGTCATGATCTGGCAACTCCAACTCATGTCTCACACCTCAACAGGAAGGCAAATCCTCCAGCAGAATCGCTTGGGGAACCTGCCAGGCTTTCGTTATGCTCCTATGGACTCTGCCCTCAGCCACATGGTAATCAAGCAGAGATATGTTCCTAATCTGCAGTTGTAATTGACTTCTGCTAGCTGCACATAGAAAACTGGTCATTTGTTATAGAAATTAAAATGAGGAAGTTCCAACTCAATTTCTTGTGAAGACCAAAATACTGCTGCGATTCAAGGCAAGTCTGAGGAGTTGCTGAGAGCAAGTGAAAATGAATTCTGTGAACAAAGCTTGTCCACTCTATTAAGTATTACTGCCTCACACTGGGGGTGGTTCTGGTGATATGCACTTACCTACCTAGAAGCACTAAAAATAGCTTCCTAACTGAGAGTGTGCTGCTTAAAAGAAGGAAATGAAACCTAATCTAGAGGTCTATCTAGAAAATAGAGGTTGAATGGGTATCGGTCAGGATGCACTATGAGTCTGATTAAGCCCAAGGTTTTTCACTTTGCCTGCTTGTGGCTCTCTGAAGTCTCACTAAGAATTTTTAAAGCTAGAGCTCAGTCCCAGAAACTCCTGCATGCAAATATAAGTTAATGCCAAGACTGGTGATTTTTCTGTTTTACACTGAGAAGGCAGGCTATCCTAACATGGACCGCCTCTCCTGAGTATCCTCCCACCACATCCACACAGCTCTGCACCTCTTGTGTTCTCAATAGCCATCCCATAGGTTCCAAAAAGTACTTACCTGGGAAAAGAGAATCTTGCAGTGGGTCCCAAGGTGGGTCTGGGGGCATTGTTTCCATGTCCAGGTCAAAACCATCACCGAGCTGCAGTCCAGAAAGAAAAGGCAAAGAAAACAAAATTGACTGCATATGTAAATAAAATAAATACATGTGCATGCATCACACACACACACACACAGTGTGCCCCAGGCAAGTAAATGACTGCATCTCTCTGAAGTAGAAAAGTCAACAAAGGATGAGAATAAAAAAGGGTGTTGCTGTGTGACAAGGGTGGGATTGTTGGTTTGCAAAGCCAGAACTTGTAGTAGAATATGCTAATATAGAGCTTAGTGCTGCATTTGATAGCATACAGCTTCTACAAACTATTCTAGGCTCAGGACTTGCCTTTGCAAATCTAATAGATAAAGAGGTGCTCAATAAACACAAATACATATGCAACCTCAGAACAGTTTATAAAGCAGAAGAGGAAGGGGTGAGAGTGAGTAGGCTGAAAAGATGAACTGGGCTTATGTTTGTGTGAAATTGTGGAGAGTGAGAAAGGAAAACATAAGAGGCTTTGAAGACACGAGAACATCCTTTTCGCTGGAAACCGTGTGACACAGAACAGCTGTCACAGAACTCCCTCACCATAGAATGGACACAGCTACCATCCACAATGCTGCGTTCAAGGCAGGGAAAGAGTTCAGCTGCCACATCTCTATCATCATCCAAGCAGCTGTAGAGGCCTGCATCTGAAAGGAGAAGGTACAATCAGTGGGACAACTCACACGTGTAAACATGCTTTCACCCATACCCCAAACTACAACCAGAAATAGGTTTGTTTATTAAGCAAAGTCTTGACTCCACCTTGCTTCACACCACCCAGATATAATAAAAACATAGGGAGTACTTAGAGGGCTATTCAGTGGCCTATAGATTTGAAAATTAAAAAATAAGTATGGAGCTAAATAACTTACTATATAACCCACTCACTTTTAGTTAATATGATTTTTTTCATTTTTACAAGTTTTATTTCATCTACTAACATGGTAGGCAAAAGTACAACTCCCATAAGTTCATTCTATGTAGCCAATAGTTGGGGATTGTAGAATTTACAATCCAAGTTATCTGGAGAGCTTGAGGTTGCCTACCTCTGATCTATTATGATATTTTATTTTTTTCTGTTCATGTTAGAATAATTTTCTTCTTTACCTGTTGCTGTTTAAGCAGTGTGTTCTTTCAAATATAATGAGGGCCATACAGAAAAGGCTGCTCCCTTTTTCTCCTCCAATAGACCTTGTGAGCTGCAATGATTAAGTGACAGCAGCTCCTCAACAGCTATAGCCAATGTGCCTGAAGGTGGGTTACAACCCTCCCAAACAAATAATATGCAACAAGTTTATTACTGCACAAATGTTCATGAGCTTCATCAGATGCATAAGTGAAAAGAATTCAACCATCAGCGCTTCTCCCCATCGTGGATGACCAAAGATTGGGAGGACTACCTGCTGCACGCAACTTGGGGGCTCAAAAGCCCTGCCCCAAAGAACACTTCACCGGATGTACGCCAGACAAACATTCAGCTGGTTGGGCCTTTCCCCCACCTTGGAGGTCCAGAAACTGGAGGGCCACTACACCTGTTTAATATCTGCCTGATCGAGGGGAAAAGAGGCTTTCTCCCCCTGTTTAGCCCCCCTCCGACGCAGCGTCCTGCTCCAGCGCCCACGCCCGCCCTCCTGCCCCAGCCAACCGCTCGCTCCCCGTCCTCTGCCCGGGCCCCGCTGCTACGCACCCCAGTCCTCGCTGCTGAGCAGGTTATCAGCGCGGAAGCGGCTCGAGTCGCTCAGCAGCAGCTCCGAAGCCAGCACCGCCATCTTCCTTCCGCTTTCCCTGCACTACACTGCCACTGGCTCCCACTCAACCCCCGCTGCCATAGCAACAGCTCAGACCAATGGAAAGACTGATCCTGTACTCCTCTGGCCAACCACAACCGGGGAGGCGGGACACGGCCTGAATATTCACCAACAGAAAAGAATTATGTTACGGAAGCGTAACAGGAAGGAACGCATGCGCCAAGACCGATGGACGCACATGCAACACGCACGAGTAATGACTATTACAATAAGTGCGCACGCGCCGTGCAAGGTACACTTTTCCTGAAGTGCCCGGCGGGGGGGGGGGTGAAGCAACGTGCACATGCGCCGTAGAACCGTCGCGGCTATACTTTGAATATTAGTGCAACGGGACACCACTTGCTCCACGTGACTGGTCAGCATGGGTGAGTTCAGTGCACGTGTATTACTCGGTAGGCAGTTTAGCGGCTTTAAAGGCCGTGTTTTGCGCATGCGTATTGAGTTGCTGGTTCGCGCAAGTTCTACTGGGGGTTGTAGTTTAGTTGCGTGTTTTAACTCCAGATTTTTTCCATAATGGTTAGGCTTAGCTACCTGTCTTTTAAATAATAATTATTGAGTAGCTCTGGCCCTTGAAGAAGCGAATTTGACTTTGGCCTGTTGTGTACAGAACCTCCCTCTCTCATGGAGCCAGTAGCAGTAGGTAAGTAATCCAGGTAATCTCTTGGATTCAGTTTCCCATCTGTAAAATGGAGAGAATATGACTTCCCTCACAGCAGCATTCTGTAGATAATAAATAGTAACACTTCAAGTGTTCCTACTATTTTTGCCCGAGCCTGTGCCTTTGTCCTTAGCAGCCACCTAGCATACCGAGGCTTTTAGGTGACCAGTAGGACCTACTGCAGCAAAATGTTGCAGTGCACACTCCGCCGTGTTGCATGGGGGTGTTTTTGTCCATTTCCCCTTTTTAAGACTGTTTTCTCCCAGCAGCATTTTTTTACTTCTTCAAACCTTGGAGTCTGCCAAGATTTCCCTTCTGTGAGTGAGATGTTTTGGCTACATTACACCACCAATCTCCACCTCCCCCACTGCACTCCTGCAGCTCAAAATTAGAACTGGTCGTTAAGCTACTGCTTTTCCATGCTTAAAAATATCTAGTCAAATACGTGCATGTTACATTTTTGTATCTCTAGCTGATGTTAAAAAGCACAAGGAGCGCTTGTAGAAGTTCTTTTGTTCAGAAAAAAATAATGCAAACATTTAAAATGAATACAGAAAGACAGGTCAGTAATAAAAGGAAAAAAAAGACCTTATAGCTAATTCAAAATGCTGATATGAATCAGGAGTGGAAATTTTTTTCAAAGGCCTAAGGGCCAAATTCCAACTTGACAAAAACCATCAAACTGCATTTTCTCTCTGGGTGTGCCAAAGGTACAACGAGCTAAATGGAAATGTGAGTTTTACTGATTTTAAGCCTACTTAGAAGTCAGCGGGACAAGCCTCATGTGTACTCCTATACAGTGGTACCTCGGCTCATGAACGCCTCAGTTCACAACCAAATCGAGTCGCAAACAGAAATTTCATAAAAATTTTGCTGCAGATCGTGAACTCTGCATCGGTGACGATCGCGAGTGCGCCCACTTCCCCCCCCCCACACAATCGCTGGGTTGGGGGGGGGGAGATGGCCGCGATCTTTGTTCTTTGTCACTTTGCTTCACATTTTTGTGAGTAAAAAAATAGTTGCAGAATGGATTAACCTCATATACATTGACCCTTATGGGGAAATTTGACTTGGCTCATGACCAGTTTGGGTCATGACCAGAGTCCTGCAACGGATTAAGTTCGTGAGCCAAGGTACCACTGTATAAACAGGAATGGGTATTTCAACAGTACTTTCAAATAGCGTTCCAACTATCTACATGTCTACTCAGAAATAAGCATGAACAGCATATCTGCTCACAAATATGCAGGCAAACCTCTGCGTGTTTATTCAGGAAGAATCACTAAGCAGGAAAGAATTACTCCACACCTTTCTCCCCTCTCCCCTGCAGGGAAAACAGCTTATTTTCAATCAGTAGCTGATTGGACATTTCCCCTGCTGAGTGCTGAGAAGGGGAGCTCAAATAGTATAAAACAGGCATGTCCAAAGTCCGGCCCGGGGGCCAATTGCAGCCCGTTTTCAAATTTCGAGCGGCCCGCAGCCTCTTCTCCCCGCCAGCTCAGCCTGTTACTCATCCCCGCTGGCCGGCATTTTTCCCTTCACTGCACAGCGGTTCCCACAGCTGTCCCCTGCTGCCTCCTGTTCCTTCAAGGCTGGTGGTTATATTTCACCAGAAGATGGCAGTAGACCTGAGTCAGCACTCTTGGCGCGTGACCCTTGTGACACAAGGCTTGTGTGCCCATTTCTAAAATGGCGACGGTAACTAAAAAAAGGAAAGTTGACAGCGAGGGCCGCCACTTCCAGGACAAGTGGCAGTTGGAGTATTTTTTCACTGAAATACGAAACAACTGTGCCTGCCTAATTTGCCAAGAGACTGTGGCTGTTTTCAAGGAATTCAATTATCAAGAGGCACTACCAGACGAAACATGCTAACTACAACAAGCTAACTGGGAATGAACACGGCGAAAAATGGAAGGAACTGGAAGCTGCTTTAACGGCACAGCAGCGCTTTTTCACAAGAGCCCGTGAGTCAAATGAAAATGCCACAAAGGCGAGCTACGAGGTGGCAACGCTGATTGCCAAGTACTGCAAACCTTTTACTGAGGGTGAATTTATTAAAGACTGTGTGATGAAAATGGTGGAGAAAATTTGTCCTGAGTAGAAGCAAGAGTTTGCCAATGTTTGCGGTATGGAGAATTGAAGACATTTCATCTAATATTAAGAGACAGAGGCAAAAGGAGTGGTTTGACTTTTTTTCATTAGCCTGCGACGAAAGCACGGATGCATCTGACACCGCTCAGTTATTGATTTTTTTGAGAGGAGTGGACAATGACATGAACGTGAGTGAAGAGCTACTTGACCTCCAGAGCCTTAAGGACCAAACAAGAGGAACAGATTTATTTGTTTCTGTTTGTTCCGCCGTAGATGACATGAAACTACCATGGAATAAAGTCACTGGGATTATTACTGATGGCGACCTGCCATGGCTGGCTAGCGAAGTGGATTATCAACCCTAGTCTGTAACAGAGTCAGCGAAGAAGGAGGCAAAGCTATAAAACTCCACTGTGTTATTCACCAACAAGTTCTCTGTGCCAAGCATCTGAAATATGATCATATTATGAAACCGGTGATGAAGGGTATTAATTATATTCGCTCCAAAGCCCTGTGCCACCACCAGTTTCAACAGTTTCTACTCGATATCCAGGCTGAATACGGAGATGTTGTGTATCACAACGAGGTAAGATGGCTCAGTTGGGGGTCTGCACTGCTGTGCTTCTACTCTCTTAAGGAGGAAATCGGACAATTCTTGGCAAAAAAGGGACAACCGATGCCAGAGCTATCTTGATCCTGTTTGGCTGACTGATTTTGGATTTTTAGTTGGCATAACACGACATCTGAACGTGCTGAACACGAGCCTTCAGGGGCAAAATGCAGTGGTAAGCCAACTGTATTCACATATCAAAGCCTTTGGGACCAAGCTGCTATTTTTCCAAAGGCACCTGTCACAAACGCAGCCCAATACCACACATTTCCATCGCTGCAGGAAATAATGACCAGTTTTCCACAGAACAATATGAGTGCGCAAATAAGGAGGTATGAAGCAGACATCTCATCTCTGGCTGGGGAGTTTCAACAGCGCTTTCAGGATTTTGCAGCTATTGAAAAGGAGATCACGCTTTTTTCATCTCCTTTCTCTGTGGACCCTGATGACGCTTCAGACCACCTGCAGCTGGAGCTCATTGAGCTGCAGTGTGACGCCGAGTGTCGCAGTTGGCACCAACAGCTCCCTCTTGTCAACTTTTACCACCAGCTAGATAAAGACAGGTTCCAAGAGATTCGAACATTTGCTAAGAAAATGCTGAGCTTGTTTGGTTCGACATACTTGTGCAAGAAGACATTCTCGGTTATGAACATTAACTAGAACCGCGTGAGGATGAGACTAAGTGACTTTCACCTGCGTGACATCTTGCGCATCAAAACCACTGTTTTTGAGCCAGACCTGGCCTATATAATGCAGTCGAGATCTCAGTATCACCCTTCACATTAGTGCAGTTAAGTTATTTGTTTAGTCTTTCATAAAATAGTTCATTTGCACTTAATGGTTCAAAGAATGTCAGGCTGAATGGTCGGCCCCCACACATTTTCACCTCACCAAATCTGGCCCTCCTTGCAAAAAGTTTGGACACCCCTGGTATAAAAGGTTTCTCACAGCAAGTCAGCCAGCAGTTGTCTTGGGCAGGGGTGGGTGGATAGCCCATTAAAGAAAATTGGGGGGGGGGGACCTCTTCAGAGCCTGTTTCTCTTCTGCCAAAGGTATTTTTATGTTTATGTATTCATCTACAGTCTTCTCAGTGCATTGTATAAATCTGGTTTCCAAGCAATGCAATTTTCAGATGCATGTTCAGTCTTTCAAACCAATCAGGTGAGGTAGTTAGACTAATAATTCTCAGTTTAAATGGCAAGAGAAAGAACCTTCTCAGCAGTCACATTTTCATTCATTCTAGAGAGGGTGCCCTGCAGACCACTTTAATGGAATTCTGGCACCAATCAACAATGTTTTCATTTTCACAGGATTTTTAAAAAATATGTTGAATGCCTTATTATGCTCTATGTGTCTATTTTACATTCTGGAAAAATGTTTTTAGATACGATTTTTTACATTTTTCTTCATTTTAATGTGTTAAGATTGTCTTATAAAACTGTATTTGCTTTAGTTCTCACAATATTTTAAATTGTTTGGCTATCTTGCAAGGCACTCAGAAAACAACAGTTATTGATGACTGATCAGTGCTTCACAACCCCTTCCCCATGCTGGTTTTCCAATCTACCTCAAAGTTAACTTTCTGACAACATATTGGTGCCTTTGGGTAACCAAGTGCTTCTTTATTTAATAAAATAGTTACAAGGGGGAAAGCAAAAGTATCCTCAGGTCTGTTCAGTTCCTGCACATACAGGACTTGTCAAACAAACCATCATTTCCGTTTTGCTATCTCCTATTTTATTCCATTGCCGAGAGGCTTCTGGGTCTCAACTTCTGAGGAAACAGCAGCAGGGGAACATCCCAAACTAGCAGAGCAACTGGCAGATCGACTGGTAGATCTTGACATTCTTGCATTATTTGATGAGGGGCCTGTGAAAAAACAAACATTAAAGATACCAGGGCACCGTCCAGACTTCATGATAATGTAGCTTTCAGGAACAGGTTTAGGGTTAGGAAAATGGGTGAATTGGGAGGGTGGTGGCTTAAAGCTCAAATTCTTCGAAAGAGAAATGGAGTCTCATGCATTAAAGGCAGCTGAATTAGAATGCCAGGAACCAGTTTTGAGGGCAAAACTGGTTTAAGGGGTGCTTTTCTCTGGTGGCAAAATAACGCCCCTCATCAAGTCTGCAGGGGTGGGCACCCTGCTGCCCTCAGCCACACTTCAAAAAGAGCAGCTCGTGTGGGATTGAAGCCTATGGCTGGTTGCCCTTAAATAAGTGCCATGAATCTTAAGCAGGAGTAAGCAAGCCAAGAGACTTCTGCATTAGGCAAGAGCAAACTTGGCAGCTCACTGTGAAGGATGAAAGGAGAAGGACGAGAAAGGGGTGACCCACTCCTGGCTAGGGTACTTCCTCTGTCAGCTTACAGTCCCCAGAAAAATATCCTTCACTCTCAACTGAAAATCAGTTAACTATCCTTGTTGTATTATAGACTATAACATGTTAAAATAATAAAATCTAAAACCAAGCTCTTTTTAAAAATTGGGTGCCACTTTTTCACAGTAGGACTATTCTTTCCTGTTTAGTGCTGCATGGTAGATAGAAATTGAAAATGTGCTGCTTGGAAACTACCCATTGAATTTGCATCTGCCATGTAGTTCTGAAACTAGAGGAAGTCAAGCAGGTTGAACAATTTCTCTAGCCTAGTATTGTCTACCTGAGATTAGCGATGGCTTTCCAGGGTCTTGGGCTGCAGCCTGTTCTCCAGAGACCCCAAGCAAATGAAGTTAGGGCCAGTACAGGGCATATGCTTTACTGCTAACCTACGGTATCTTCCCCAGAGGAAGCAGCCAGTCCTTGTTGAGGTGCAGTGCAGCAAGAAGAGTTTGTTTGGGATTCAGAATTAGGAATGGGCACCCCTTAAATGAGATTCATGTTGGGACCAACAAGTCTGATGTGGAACAGCTGCCAGAGAGAGAATGAAAATACTGTTTTTGGCCTGCTAGTCATATTCCCTTATCTGGATATGCAGAAGATCAAACCAAGGATCCACCTTCAAGCAAAGCATGGTATTGGTTTGACTGAATATCCTTGAAGCAGAAGGAAATAGCATTGGCACCTGATCATGAAAAACATGCTTGGCTTGTTTCTGTGACTTTAATAGCAGCTTTAACTGCAGTGATTGATAGGCAAAGCTTTTGGGAGCAAGTAGAAGCACATTAAGAGCCAGTAAATATCTGATCAGAAATCGATAGGGTTGGGATGACAGTGTGAGTGAGGACACCTAGGTTCCCTAGCAAGAATAGGGCTAGATAGACTGGCACCAGAGCAACAAGCCTTATCAGCCTTTCCCAGTCATGTGTGATCCAGTACCTCTGGAAGACAACTATCATCCCCAGCCTGGCTGGCTGGGGACAGTGGGATTGATAATGCAACATATCTGGAATGTACCAGTTTGAGAAGGCTGATGTGGATCAGAATGAGGAATAGCTCTTTTTCAGTTTCAAGCATTATAATTTATTCCCAGGACACAATCAGAGTACGTAGTATAGCACTTTCCAGAATTTCAAAAACATGCCCTAAGTAGCATAAGGAGTAAATTTTGATTGTGGGACATGCAACCAGAGAAGGAAGAGGGGAGGGGGAGAAGGTGGCCAATGATTTTAGACAGATGTGGTTTTGGCTGGAGCTGGAGGTCACAGCTGAGATGAGAATTAAGAAGCTGACTTTAAAGGTATCACCAAAGAGGTGTGTTTTGAGGGGAAGTCCTTAAACAAAGGAGGCTTTCCCGTCAGATTAAGGTTAGCCACAAGAAGAAGAATACCTTACCAGCTTGGCACACCCGATTCTTGCATGCCAGCACCGGCTCCCCCAGATCCTCATTGCGCAGTGATGCTGCTATTTTCCTGACCACATAGCGGCAGGCTGAAGGAAGAAAATAATTACGGTTGTGTTCACCTTGGCCAAGACCGAAGCTCCAGTGAGACTCCCAGCTTTTGTTTTGTGTTAAGCTTCTCCCTTGCCCTCCTAATCCAAGCATCTTGGCTTCTTAGCATTCTTCTTTCACTTATTAGATTCTCCTCTTTCACCTTCCCCCAGCAGACTTGTCTCCCTATATTTGCAGACCCTTAACTTACCACCAATTATGAGTCACACCATGCTTTATGAAGGGGGGTGCCGGTCAGCCTGGACGCTCCTTGTTGTCAGTTGCATAAACAGGATTTCAGTAAGGGAAGGAGGGAGGAGGTGGAGCTGACCAATGCAGAAGCATTGTGGGAGATGTAGTTTTATTTTCTCGGTACCTACAAGGCCCAGGACGGCAGCAGTTGTGTGCCTGATGCAGCAATAAGCCAAGAAAGACTGTAATGCAGGAGTGTGCTGCCTTTTTGAGTGATGGACGTGTTTGGCAATTTGAGAAACTGGTCTGGGCACCGATGCAAAGTGGCTGGCCGGAGAGAAGTAGCAAAGAGCAAGTACTCTGAACAAGGAAGAGGTGGGATCTGAGACCCGGTGCATTAAAAAGCTTCTTTGAATGCAGTTTTCAGCTGCAGAAGAAACCTATTTCACAGCAGTCTCAGCTGTGCCAGTAAGAAAGCATGTGAACTGGGGGGGGGGGGGACACCAAAAAACAGGAGGAGTGTGGGGTATTGGTGGCCACCAAGAAAGCGGTCTGGAGGCAATTTGATGCCTGTGGGTAGCATGTTGCCCACCCTTGGCCTAGTGGCAACTTTAAAGTCTATGGTATGGCGTAGTCTTTAAGGTGCTGCCCATTTCCTTCGGCTATAATAGGGAAGAGCAGTCTCAGTCCTGGCTGTGGGTAGGAGCTGCCTGACTTTCAGGAACTGGCTGCAGGGCCTAGCGGAGAAGGGAGCCAGCCAGGTGTCATGAGGTCATTGGAAAGGAGGATTTGGGTGCAGGCTCCAGCCTCTTGGTGTCATTCAACTGGGCAGCTTGGTCCAGTGGACAGTTGGGTCCCCAGAACAGTATAGGTTTGTGGGCGGTTGAAGCCCGTGAAGTGTGGTGCTTTTGGATTGGAGACCTGGGGGATGTGGGTTCTAGTCCCTGCTGAGTGACTTTGGGCAGCCGTTCACTCTCAGCCTAAGCTACCTCACTGGGTGGTGGCTGTAAGAGTTAACTGTAGCTATGTAAGGCTCTCTGGGTTTCTCACAAGAAGAACAAAGGTGGGATATAAATGCCATGTAGTAATATTTATTTCATTTCTATACCGTTCTGTAGCCAAAGCTCTCCGGGCAGTTTATAACAATGTATAAAACAAAGCAATAAAATACAGTACAAATATCAGAAAGCAGCAATGTTTAAAAAGGGCAAAGTTAATTTAAAATAGCTTAAATACAGTGTAAATACAATAAAAAGACCCAGAAGAATGACCAGGATGATCCCCTCAGGCCCTGGGGGATTATCTCTCTTTAAAGGCCTCAGCATAGAGGGCTGTCTTGACCTAGCACCAAAAAGATGGCAAATTTGGCACCAAGTGGGCCTCAGCCTGGAGGTTGTTCCAAAGGTAGGGGTGGTGTCATGGTGCTCTGCCCCTTATTTCTAGGTTTCTCTTTCCTCTAGTTTCAGCATTTTCTGCCTGAATGCATTTGTATTGGTTAGAAACTTTGCTTGCTGGCAAAGTTTGTTTTATATTTTGAATGTATTATATTTTAGTTTATGTTTTGAGCTGCCCCGAGGCTTCGGCGAATGGGGCGGCATAGAAATGTTTTAGATAGATAGATAGATAGATAGATAGATAGATAGCTGAATGCTTTGCCCAGATGCTGTAATGTACTCAAAACATAAGGTTTTTTTGTTGGGGATCCTCAAATTATCTCTGGACTTAGTAGCTAAGAGTCATTACTGCTTGCCAGCAAAAATATAATAAAAAGTGCATATGCAGAGCTTTTCCTTTTCCACCCAGTAACACCATGCCCATTCCACAGAAAGAAGGATGCTTGCATGATTTTACAGTGAAAAATGGCTAATAAATTCTCTACCTGAAGAAGAAGACTAAATCTCTTACATGGCCCAGAAGCCTGAGTGTCTCTTTCTGCAAATTTAACATTATCCCCACTTCCCTGGGAAACCCTAGCATAGCATGTCAAGCATTTGTTTGCAAAACCAGGGTTACTGCAAAATTTTTATTTTTCAAAATAAAAATATTTTCAGTGGCAAGGAAACCTACTCTATTTTTTTCTTTCTCCCTTCCAGCAGCTCCCATGATAGTCTTATGTTGTTTGATATTTATCTTTTTTTTTCTTTTGCACATTTTTTAAGATTTAAAACTAAAAACTAAAAAAATAATCAGTCATCAAATACATTGCATGTACTGGGTCAGCCTCCTATAACATATCTTTTAAACATTCTATAATCATATTCAAATCGATTTATAAAAATTTAAAGACATCTTTAAATCTAAGCCAAGTCCCGTTTCTCCAGCCACTTGTAAAAAAGGTCCCAAGTTTGATAGAAGTCAGTATCTTCTTTCTCCTTCAATAATAGAGTCAATCTGTCCATTTCTGCACAGTCCAGAATCTTTTTTAAAATCAGTTCCTCAGTGGGTACTTTTTACCATATGTGGTGGACTTGTGAATATGTGAAAAAGTATTGGATTAAAATACATAAATGGCTTGAGGAAATGCTACAAAAACCCTTAGCTTTTAAACCTGAAATTTTCTTGTTTGCTAATATTTTCTGGTACAATGCCTAACAAGAAAATTTCAGGTTTAAAAGCTAAGGGTTTTTGTAGCATTTCCTCAAGCCATTTATGTATTTTAATCCAATACTTTTTCACATATTCACAAGTCCACCACATATGGTAAAAAGTACCCACATCATGTTTACATTTCCAACATCTGTTTGACATATTTGGCAACATTTTAGCTAACTGATTTGGCAACAGATACCATCTATAAAACATTTTATATAAATTTTCTTTATACGAAGTTGCTAAAGTTACCTTAATATTTCTCTCCCATAACTTTTGCCACTTTTCTAATTCAATATTATATCCAAAATTTTGTGCCCATGTTATCATAGTTTCCTTAACCTGTTCCCCTTCCATTTTCCTGTCAAGTAAGAACTCATAAATTCTTTTAATCATTTTCTCATCTGTTTTTAACATCACTTGATCAAAGGCTGTTAGGTCTTTATAAAACCCCCATATTTTACAATCTTTAGCATATCTCAATTGCATCTGCACCTTATACCACCACAAGATATTGAGTCCCTGTTCTTGTATTTCTTGATCTAGCTTCAGGCCTCCATCCTTATCCAAAATATTATCATATCTTATGATCCCTTCAAAATTCAATACGTTTGGATACACAAAAGCTTCCATAGGTGAAAGCCATCTTGGTAACTTATTATACAATTTTGACTTTAACTTTTCCCACACTGACATTAATGATCTTCTAATAAAGTGACTTAAAAAAGTTCCCTGTGACTTAACCTTCTCATACCACATATAAGCATGCCAACCCATTTGCAAATCATGTCCTTCAAGACACAAAATTCTCTTATTTCGCAAGGTTATCCATTCTTTTAGCCAAGTTAAAATAGATGCTTGATAGTACAACATCCAATCTGGTAAACCAAAACCCCCATTCTTTTTGGTTTCCTGAAGCATTTTCAGTTTAATCCTTGCTTTCTTTTTTCTCCAAATAAATCTCGAAATTTGAAAATTTAAATCCTCAAAAAATTTTTTATCAATTTTTACGGGAATCATTTGGAACAAAAACAAAAGTTTTGGTAGTATGTTCATATTAACCAGTGCAACTCTTCCCATCAAAGACAGTTGTAAATTGGCCCATCTTTCCAGATCACCTTTAATATCTTTCAATAATTTATTGTAATTGTCTGCTTTCAAAGTTGTGCATTTAGCTGTAGGATAGATTCCCAAGTATTTAACCTTTTTGACAATCTGCAAGTCCACTTGTTCTTGGAGTCTTTTTTTCTGATCTTGTGTAAGATTTTTAACTAAAAGTTTCATTTTTTCCTTATTTATTTTCATCCCCGTAACCTCACCATATTCTTCAATCCGTTGCAAAAGTTTAGGGATTTTTACAAAAGGTTCCTCTATTATAAAGACCAAATCATCCGTGAATACTTGCAATTTATACTTTTCATCCCTAATTTTAGTATCTTTAATGTCCTTGTCATCCCTAATATTTCTATTCAAGACCTCTAAAGTCAGGATGAACAGCAAGGGTGACAGCGGGCATCCCTGCCTTGTACCCTTTTGTATCTCTATAGCCCTTGTACGTTCTCCATTAATTAAAATCCTGGCTGATTGTCTTTGTTAGATGCTTGATATCGCATTTATAAATTTTCCCCCAGACTCCATTTGGTCCATCTGTTGCATCATGAATTGCCAATTAACATTATCAAAGGCTTTCTGGGCATCTAAAAACAGTAGAGCCATTGATTTTTCCGTGTGTGTCTCGTAGTATTCTAGGATATCCAAAATAGTCCTCAGATTGTTCTTCATTTGTCTTTTAGGCAGAAAACCATTTTGGTCTGGATGAATAAAGTCTATTAAAAACTTCTTCAACCTTTTTGCCAATATAGAGGCAAAAATTTTATAGTCCACATTTAATAATGATATGGGTCTGTAATTTTGAATCTGTGTCAAGTCCATATCTTCTTTCGGTATTAATGTGATATTTGCCTCTGTCCAGGTATCTGGTATTTTAGCAGTTAACAATGCTTCATTACATATGTCTTTGAGAAAGGTATCAAAAATTCCCTCAAAAGATTTGTAACATTCAGCTGGTAGCCCATCTGGACCAGGGGTTTTATTGTTCTTTTGTCGCATGATTGCCTCTGTTATTTCCATAGTTGTTACTTCTTGATTCAATATTTTTTGATACTTTTCTGCTAATTTTGGTAAATCTCCCTTTCGAATGTATTCTTTTACCTTCTCGATCGAAAACTCCTCCTTCCGGTATAACCTTGCAAAAAAATCTTCAGCTATTTTCTTAATTTGTGTATTTTGTACCTGTAGTCCTTCTCCATCTTTCAGTTTCGAAATCAATCTCTTCTCTCTTTCTTTTTTTACTTTATATGCTAGCCATCTCCCCGGTTTATTAGCATTTTCAAAAAAACTCTGTTTAGCCAGTTTCATTTGCTTAGTAAGTTCATTTGTATCCAAGAGATTCACTTTGTGCTTTAAAATATTAATTTGGACCTTAAGATTTCTTTTTGTTGGATCCGCCTGCAGTTCTTGTTCCCGTTTCCTCAATTCTTCTACTAATGTTGCTTGCTTGATATTTATCTTAAGCAACCTCTATAGGACAAAGCAGACTTGGTCTATTTTTTCTTGTGAAGTGCGAGTGGGTAAAGCCTCTTGTAAGTGGGGCTGGCCTCAGCCTTCTCCTATCCTGTAAATCAATGACAGAAAGCAAAACATCCTTAGAAAAGTTCCCTGTAGCTGGAAAGAAGTAGCACAAGAAATGGCTGCCTGGGAGTTAGTTAGAAGGATGCAAGGCTGGGATTTCCAAGTTTCTTTCGTTGATAGTACTGGGAAGGGGAGCAAGGGAGACTGTCTTCCCCAAAGTGGTGCCTTCCAAATGTTTAGGATTGCAATACCTATTTGCCCCACCCACCATGTCCATTGGTCAGGAAAATGGTAACTGTAGACCTAAAACATCTGGAGGATGCCATGTTGGAGAAGGGTGACATGGAAGAAGCAATTCTGTGCATGAGAGAGAAAGAAACTGAATAGCACCTAGAAAGAAAATGAGAAGTGGACGATCACATTCCCCCAACCCACCCTGCTGCTGGTCAAGCTTTAGGAGTTTGGGGAAAGCGAAAGATGAGGATAAGAGAAGAAGCCTTTGCTGGTGCCCTTCAGAAATAGGGAACGCAGCATCTGTCCCAAAAATCTGCTCCCGGTTTCTCTGGCAACCTAACTGAGGTGGTGTAATACAGCATGCCAAGTAGGTATTTCTGGGCCTTGACCAGGTGAGCAATGGGTTTGCTGAAGGGTGTTTGTTTTCAGGGCCCCTGTAGTTTTGATGCTGTTCCAACGTGGTGATGGATGTGGGAATTTCCAGCTACTGTTTCTCAGGTTCTGTCCTTGAGAAACACCTACCCACAATTAAGCTCTTTAACATAACAAAGAGCATCAACCTGACCAAACACTGAGGGCAGCAAGTGCTCCTGACTTTTCAGTGCTGGTGCGCTTCTCCCTAAAGAGGAATGCCAGGGACCATTTGTATTCTGGTTTTGTGCTTGCTTGCTTTGCTTTGCTTGCTTGCTTGCTTGCTTGCTTGCTTGCTTGCTTGCAAGGTAGCATGTACATTCATAAAATACATCTAACTGTTTTGTAATCAGGAGTAATCCCAAGCACAGTGCTTTGATTGGTTTGTGTACAACAGCAACTATTTTTGTGCAGTTAGTGTTTCATGAGCCTAATCTTTCTGTCTCCTCTTTAGAATGCTTATCAGGATATAGATCCAAATGAATTTCTTCTGAGTAGAGAAGAGAAGATTGGGCTTATAAACATATATATCATTGTGTGCTGCCTCCTTGCTTTACCTCTCTTTTCTACCACTGTCCCTTTTACAGTCATAATTTATGGGGGAAAACATCTGTGGAGAGAGAAGCCCATTTAAGCAAGGGCTCATCTTTTAGTTGATGCTACTTTGGAAAGCCACTGTAGGTTGAAGGTGCATGTGGGGGTTGGATTTAGTGCACATTTAATAAGTTGTGCTAAATCTCCTTTACCACATGCTCAAAGGGCACAATCCTATCCCATTTTAGGCAGAGGAAAGGCCTGCAACTACCAGCATTTCCCATTTTTCTGTCTAAACTTGCACAGGATTGCACTTTTGGTGTTGTTGCTTCAATGGCAGCCATTGTCCACAGCAGAATTTGGTTCTGACCCTTCGTGAGGGATACTTAAAAGTTTTTCTCCTGAGCTTGAAGCTCTTTCAGATACTTTTCTTTTATTGGCCATAACCACGCTGAATTCCAAGTTCTTACTTAGTTTTGAACTATATGTATAAGTGTCTTTTCAGACACAACTCCCAAAGCTTTTTATATTGAAAATTACTCAAGTTTTTTTAAAATCCAAATTTCCTTATGCACGAAAGACTAGCTAGAATTCATCTTTGCCCTAAACTGGGTGTTTGAGAGAGAGAGGTGCATTCATGCACACACTCCAGAAATCCTTGAGAAATGTTTCCATTTCTCAAAGGGCAAATTCACACAAGAATTCATCTGATTCTCTTATTTAAGTGTGGACTAGTTAAAGCTTGGAGAATTCCCTTAGGGAAACAAATACTTCCCCCCCTTCAGCAATGCCATTATTTATGCCAATTTAGCTCATCTTGGGCGAGGTGGACACTAACTGTGTACAGCAGGGTCAGGGAACCTCCAGTCTATGGTCCTGAGCCTGATCTAAATTATTCAATATTTGTATTCTTACATGCAAGCTGGTGCATATTTACTCAGCATTAAGATCCATTGTGTTCAACAGCGCCTGTTACTGTCATGAGCCGTCAGGTCATCTTCAGTTTGAAATGAAATAAGTGGAAGCCCTCCAAAATGTCCCACTTTCCATGACATGTGCTATCAGTCCTGTTCAATTCTTCTACAAGCTGAACGGGGTTCAGAGGAGGGCAGCAAGGATGATCCAGGGACTGGAAACCAAGCCCTCTGTGGAGTGATTGGAAGAACTGGGCATGTTTAGCCTTGAGAAGAGAAGATGGAGGAAGGGCATGATAGCACTCTCCAAAAAAGGCTGTCACACAGAGGAAGGCCAGGGTCCCAGAAAGATTTCCTGACTGTTAGAGTAGTACAACAACGGAACCAACTACCTAGGGAGATGGTGGGCTCTCCCACACTGGAGGCATTCAGGATGCAGCTGGACAGCCCTCCAAGAGGGGTGGTTTAACTTGCAGTCCTGGAGGTTGGGCCTGATGGCCCTGCAGCCCAGCCCAATTCTACTATTCTAGGAGTTGGTCCTATTTGGTCTTTCCTCCTCTTCTTCTGCCTTCAACTTTCCCTAGCATGTTTGCCTTCTGCGGGGAGTCGTGCCTCTCATGATGTGCCCAAAGTAGGACAGCCTCAGTTTTGTCATTTTTGCTTCTAGAGACCACTCTAGCTTGATTTATTTCAGGTAATTGTGCATAGGGGTTTCAGCTTCTTATGAAAATGATTCAGTTCATTGACCGTTTGAACTGATCTGATCTTGGACAGCTGCTTTTAAGAATTTACTGCTAACTCTAGGAACTGATTAAATTTCATAGCTATACCCCATGATGTTGCAAGATGAAGGAAAAAAGAAGTATTATAGATGGGGAGGAAATACCTTGTCTCATAGTAGGGGATCAGGGAAAGTTTCCTTGATTTTGCTCTTTTACTCTCCGTCTTCCGTCCTGGCATCTCCTAAAGGGTCGTTTCAGCTTACAATGGTTGCTAAGACAGGTGGTTGCTGGGGAAATGACGTTACAATGAGAAAGAAGAAGGGGGGGATGTGGAAGGGGACGAGACAAACCAGTGTGATCGAGCAGAAGCTGTAGCACATTCGCTGTCCCCACTACGGCTCATCCATCCATCAAGACCTATGCCAAGAAGAGGGTAAGAGGAGAAAATTATGAGTGGTAGCGGTGTAAAAAAAATGAAAATAAGGTGTGTGTGATTCATAACGAAGGGGAAATTCCTGGGGATTTGAACATACTAGAAGAGAGTTCACACTGTTGCTGCTCTGATGGAAAGGTAATTATATTATGCATGTGTGTGTCAGGACAGAAGGAATGGGAAATAGTGTATTTTGAAGCACAGAGTTTGGTTTCTAGTGTGTAAGTCAAAAGGAATCTCTTCTGCTTGGTGGATTGGGGAAGTCAGAGGAAGGAGGGCTGCTGGGTGTGTGAAAAACACAATGACAGGGAATGAGCTAGAATGGGCTGTCGAAGGCAAATTCTCTCTTGCCATTGGCCAACTAGCTGTGATGTCACTATATGGCCATGAATGTTCTAGTTGACAAATACCACCAGGGGTCTTCTTGGCCCCATTAGCAAACGTGAAAGGATATGGAGGAGATCTCTGAAGACCTGTAAGTGATGTCAGTATTCACATAACTAAAGGAAAGCCAAATTTCTGCCTGAAGATGGCCAGCCTTGGGGGGGGGGGGGAGGCTAAGAGCTCATTTTAATATGCAAAACATGTTCATTTGCCTGTCTTTGCAACAACTATAATTTAAGCTGCTTCCTGTTTTTCAGGTGAGGAACTGAAGCTGAAAGACAGTTGTCTTTCCCAGAGGCCATGTGGTGAATCCTCAGCTCAGCCGGGTCCTGAAAAGAAAAACTCTTTCAGGTTTGCATCCATCCTTGAGTTCACTGAAATCCATTGTGTCTCGGGGGGCGTAGGTTGTGTTAGTAGGAAAAGTGGGCTGCAACGATTTCTTCTTTCAGAGTCATTCCATCTTTCTTCTTTGCAACAGCTTTTAGGCTGGATTTCCTCTTCACAAACTGCCTCTGAGAATAACCCACCTCTGCTGGTGTAGAAGACTATCCCATCCCTGGATGAACTGGCTGGGCCAGTAATGGCAAATACAGAACTGGGCAGTGAGAAGGCGCCTGCTCCGGGAGAAGGGGAAGAAAACCAGAAACAGGGACTGCCCAGTGGTGAACAAAATAGTCAAGATGCATTTGCTGGGAGTAGAGAAAAGGAGAGTGGGGCCAAGGTGAGGGGAGAGGACCTGAAGGAGAACCTGCCTCCACCCAAGCAACCAAGGCCGGCCAGTAGGGGTGCCTCTTGGGCCTGTCCAGATGGCACATTCGTCAAGCTGGTTCTGCAGAGTGGCACAGGGTTAGATAAGCCTAAAGAAGGCTCCTTCTGTCAGGTCTTCATTGAGGCTGATCCTGGAGGACCCTTGAGTTACCCGGCCCACAGGTGGGCTGAGGTGGAGCTGGGCGGGGGTGATGGCGAGTGGGATGGGGTCATAGACTGTTGCCTGGAGACGATGCTTGCTGGGGAGCAGGCAGAAATCCAGCTGACCGGAGGAGGCAGGATGACTGTCCAGCTGGCAAGCTTCACAGAAGCCAAAGACTCCTGGGAAATGAACGCCAGTGAGAAATGGGACCTGGTTCTTGGCAACAAAGAGCGTGGCAGCGAGCTGTATCGGGCAGGGGACATTGGTGCTGCAGCGCGGCGCTATGCCAAGGCCTTGCGCCTGCTTGTGGTGGCTGCCCCTCCCCCAGACTACGACCAAATTAAAGCCGAGCTCCACGCCAACCTAGCTGCCTGTCAGCTCAGGCTGCGCCAGCCAGCCAACGCTGCTTGCAACTGCACCAAGACGCTGGCGCTCCAGCCAGCCAACACCAAGGCCCTATTTCGACGGGGCTTAGCTTGCGATGCCATGAACGACCTGGAGGGGGCAGCCCAAGATCTGAAGGGGGTGTTGCAGGTGGAGCCGGGGAACCGAGCTGCACGGCGGGAACTGGAAAGGGTGACTGAGCGGATAAGGGCTCGAGATGCCAAACTGGCCCGGGCCATGCAGAAAATGTTTGCCTGAATAAAAAAACTAAGCAGTGTTGTTGTTTCTCTTGATTTGCTTTGGAGTGCCCAGCTGTTTTGGATCAGTGTTTATATTCGGAATTTTGTTCTCACGAAATGAAGGTTCCCATCATATTTATTTCCACATCTCTGTGAGATAGGTTGGCTTAAAGAATAGGGCCTAGTGCAAGGTCAGACAGTGGATGTAATGACCGGATGGGGATTTGAACTTGTGTCTTAAAAGTTGACCACACTGACTTTGTTGTGTCTGTAAGAATTAGGACTCTGAATATTCAGTGGTCTGTAGCTGCTATGGAATTTTGCTTTCCAAAAGACTCATGCTCTCTTCCTGTTGTTTAACAACAAACAAGCATGTTTATAACCTTTACAGGTGAATCAAAAAGCCTTAGGAATGTATGGACTGTGCATGATGGAATCTTGGTAGTTAAATAGGGACTGTGTGAAGCATTCAGTAGTCAGGGATTGGCCCAAAAGGGTCTTTACTTCTTGCAAGGAACCCAAGGTGGCTTACTTAGCTCCATTTTATCCTTACAACAACCCTACAAGGTAGGCCAAGAGTGAGTGACTGGCCCAAATTCCCCCATTGCTTCATGGGTAAGTGGGGACAAGAACGTTCAGTCCCAGTCCCACCCTCTAACCACAGAAGCAAGTAATATTTGAAATTATGTATAGAAGTCAGCATCTTCAAACTAGCAACCTTCATCTTACTATTTTTCTATAGAACTTCCATATATCCTGTTCTGTTTTCAAAGACATGTTTCTAGCCCTTTCAGCTGCAAAGGTTAGCTGACAACAATGCTCTTGGTGAAGTCTCCGAATCCACCGAAGAATCACCACATGGAGTTTTTGTTCCATATAGCTCTTAGGTCCTCTCACAATTAGAAGGCTAATAAATGATCCCCGGTTTTGGAAGGGGGTGGCATATTCACAGCTCAGCTTCTCGCTACTGTTCCCTTGCTGCACATCTCCAATTTTCAAGCCTTCTCTGCTGCGAAGAGTGGGAAGGTTTCATTCTTTGGGAAGCCAAAATAGCAATTTTATGCAAGCCCAACATAATTGTATTCCAGCTGAAGAATTTCAAAAATTCACCTTGTCCGGGTGAGGAGAGGGATTGGAGTACATCTCCCAAATTGAAAACAAAATCAAAACTTGGAGTGACTGCTTTGGTGCATTTCGGGCAGGAGCTGGTTCTGTGTTGGACCGAAGGTTTCGCAGTGGTACAGGAAGATGAAATCTGCAGTTTCTGCTTACTGATGTTGCAGCTTTTTCCATTCCACCCCCCCCCCCGGCTGCCCCCCTTTCTTCCCTCCGGCCGTCCCATCCCCCCCTACCCCTTTGAAATCCATACATACCCCTTTTGCTGTTTCTAAGCAACCGTCTCCTGAGAGACTGCAGTGCTGGGGAAGCTCTGATTGCAGATGGTGAACGGGGGAGGGGGTGAAGTGGGGGAAAGATGAGGAGAGACTGGTTTGGATCTGGGGAAGTGGGAAGAGAGCGAACGCTAAACCTTCCGGTACCATCTGGAAACCAACAGAGGAGGAGCTGAGCTGGCCGGGGACAAGGAAGATGGGGCAGGCTGGGATATGATGATGGGAATGGGTGTATCCCCCAAGAGGAGGGGCCCCCACTTTGATGAAGGACTCCACACAAAGCCACCCTGAGGCAAACACAGATAAAAATACTAACAGGCTTTTGCGAATCAAGTGTCTTTAATAAGTAATATACCGATAAGAGAGAGATCCTGTAACCATGTCACTTGCAAACAGATAATACCATTACAAAGTCCAACATCCAAGAAAAAGGGAATCGTGAGGATTTAATGTGACAATGTGAGGTTTGGCACAGTTTGGGAGTGGGGAGAGAGGCACCAGAAATTATAAATAGAACAACCAGAAAGGTTTCTGCATCAACCCAGATCTAATTACTCCCCTTAGTATTTGAACCACATAAAAACATACACTTGTGTGCCCCATGAGCAACCTCGGACATTTTGGTTGATGCTACTCGGTGGTGGTCAGGAGGGGATGGTATGATTTTGCTCTGGACCATTGCAGCCACGGAGGGGGCGGTTTCTGAATGGTCTCCTGAGTTGACAAAAACACCCGAAAATGATTCCCTGCGTGTTGTCATAACCGACGGAAATTTCTGCTGTGCTAGCTTTCTGCATGCAGGGAACTTTGTATGTGGGAAGGATGCCAAACTATCCCCTGCCCCCCCACCCCACATCTTCAGTCTGGAGTGGCACAGGCCAAAAATCAACTACCTTATTTAGCAAAACATGTAGACTGTAAGGTTTGTTCAGCACATGACTTTTTGGGGAGTGGGGGATAGAATGTACCCTTTCAGACCATAGGTGGGCATTGCTACTTTTAACTTTCTTTCCTGCCCTCTCTCCCCTTAAATAACTCCTTGTAAGTACAAAGACCTCTTTAGGAAAAAAAAAAAGAGCTTCTCAACCACGTCTTTACTTGCAGTGCTGGCTTTCCATTTATTGCACCCCGCCACCCCACCATGCCAAGAGTCCCTTTGTGTATTTCTCACAAGAACCCTGTGAGATAAGCTAGGATAAGAGAGGGTATCTCGGTGAGCTTTATGGCCAGGCAGGGATTTGAACCCTGGCCTAAGTCCAATGCACTAACCTTTGCACTAGCCTGGCTCACTACCGGTTTATTAAGGTAGGGGCACAGTGAACAATATTTCCAGTATTTCCAGTCAGTCATCTGACCGCTTCTGTCTCCATCGTGTCTACACTAGAGTGTGTTTCACACACAAGTCACTGTGGAAAACATCTTGCCCATAACCATGCCCTGGAGCGTGTCTGGGCAGACACGGCTTCCTGCTCGGGCACTGCGGTGCCAATGCCCTCATCCAGCGGGCAGTCTTTCATTGCAGTGACAACTGCTCAGACTTTCTCCTTCCAGATTGATTGCTTCCCCTTTATCCCTTTTAAAAAGCACCTGGAAGCTATCATTTTTCTTGCAGCTGTCAGAGGATCTGCTATGGATTTCCTTTAATTTTTCACCTTTTCAGAAGAGAGGGGTGTAACATTTTAATGTGGTTTTGTACAAAGCAAAGTAAGCATCAGTTGGCAATGAGGGGGAGGAGATTGCTAGCTAAATAAAAGTTTTAACTGATTATAACCTCTATAACTCCTCTTCCTGAGATTGCCCTAAACATGAGATGAGTATATATTGTAATCTACCTCAAGCATTTAGAACAGGGTGAAAAGGAATCAGAATAAAATAAATAATAAGGCTTTAAATAACCGTCGTCATCTTTTCCCCTCAAGGAAGAAAAGGGGAATTTAGTTCAAAGAGCATTGTGAAATAGCAAGTATAAATAGAGATTGTTTAAACACTGCAGAATGGAGTGTTCTTTTCCAAAGAGACTATGAAAGGTGCTAACACTAAACTGAGCATCCCATAACAGGTGGGGAAAGCAAACATGTTCCTAATTTCACATGGCTATTTTCACCGGCTGTGCTGAATGTTCTAGGAAGGATTAGGAATCACCCCTTTTTGAAAGCGGTTGTGCCTTTCACACCTGAAATAGAGATCCAAAAGAACAGAGCAAGGCCTATGTTATATCATGTACAGGTGGCAACCGGGTGGGTGAAGACTCAATGTCCCCAAATATTGGGCAGCTCACCCACCCCATGGTAGCTGTGGTATTCCCAACATAAGAAGAGAGAAACAGGTGAAGAACAGCAACAACCTTTGCAGAGCTCCATGGGGCGCAGCTTAGCATATGAGCACCTGCTCACGCTTGCAGGACTGCAGAAGAGCCGTCGTGGATGCACTGGGCGGGGGGGGGGGGGTGAGTTAAGCAAGATGTAGGCAGTGCAATCTGCAAATGGGCAGCACTATGCATGCAGGAAGAGGAGGAGGAGGAGGAATGTGGCCATTGCCATGGAAACAGGAGGTGGGGCCTACTCCTTGGGAAGAAAGGAAGCAAGCTAAGTGTTCTGGTTGAGAACTGGCAGGAAGGAGATGCTTGTTGCTAGGAGATCACGGAGCCTCAGGTGTGCCAGCATTCATCCTGAATGTCATCGCCCAGAAGTCATCCGCTGAATGGGTACCATGAACAAGGCCAACAGCAGCCAAGGGCTGTGGGAAAACTGTTGCCAAGCATTCCAGGTGTTGTTGGCAGGGGAGACAACGGTTGCCGAGGACCGCAGGGGAGACGGTTGCCAAGGACCATCCTTGGGCGTGATGGTTGCCAGGGTTTTCAGAGCTGCTGTTGTCACCAGTTGTCGGGGTACAGGAGTAGGCAGGAGGCGGGGGTCCGTTGCTAGGGGTCCCAGTCATTGTCGTGGTGCTGAGCAGCAATGATGATGACCACAGTGAGGATGGTGCAGAGGACGATGGCGGCAATGCCCACCGCCAGGCTGATGAAGGAGAAGTTGCGGGCCTCTCGCGAGGCGATTTCCGCGGAGACGATGTCACCGCGGGCAACGGCAGTCCGCACCTGGCAAAGAGAAAGGAGAGCATGCCAAAGAAGGCACTCACCGCCCCAAACTGCATTCACACCAAGGCACCGGGCACCGTTTGATGCACGCGGTCGTAGCGTAGCACAATCTTAGCAGATTTGTTAAAGACGTGGGAGCCCAAGTGCATGGCCAGTGCAATCATGCTTACTGGCACTAGCTCTTCAGCCCATCGGCCAGGGATTCATTTTGGAAGGCCTCCTGCTCAAACAAACCTTGCATGTAGAAATCTAGCATCTCAAGGGGAAAGATTCTACCATGGAAACTTACCTTACGCATGGAAAGTTGAGAGAGATGGTGGTTAGAGTGTTGGACTGGGGACCTGGGAGCTCCACATCCTAGTCCCCACTCACTCATGAAGCTCACAGGGAGGCTTCGGGCCTGTCAATCACTTCCAGGCCAGCCTACCTCACAGGGTTCTTATGAGGATGGAGCTATGTAAGCTGCCTTGAGTTCTTCACAAAAGGAAAAATGGTAGGATATAAATGCAATGTAATAAGTTAATATGTATCTAGGCAGAGAAAGATTGTGTTCCATACTTATAGAGGGTTTTTTAAAAGAACTTTCCTAAAATGTGTTTGTGATTCTGTATGTTGCTCAGCTTTGGATAACAACCTAGAAATAAACACATATATTCTGTTGTGGTAACTGTCTTAAAATCAGTGATGTAATGGCAAATTTAGAAGTGGGGGGGGGAATCCCTTCCTGGTAGTCCAAGCCACACCTCAAAGCTACACCCCCATCAAAGCCACACACCCCAAGACACCCCCATTTCCAAAACTATGCAACCTCTGATTCTATAGTAAAAATGAGCTTTGTCATTTTATTTGAATTTCTCAAGTGATGGATGCAAAATGAGGGTATCTTTTTTGAAACAGTGAGAGCTTCTAGAATGTGTTTCTTATTTATTAAGAATGAATTATTTTTAAAATCATGTTCATACCCTGCTCTCCAGCCAAAAAGCTCCCAGAGTGGCTCATGTGGAATTAATAAGGCACTTCCAGCCATCAGGTTCACTATCTAAAAGAATGACAATCAGAGGCAGACCATGAGGGAAAGTATCACAGGAGACACTTGTGCTTGCCTGGCAGGTCTCTCCAGATAGGTTGTTCCCAGGAACTGTTGGAAAAATGGCTGTGAAATTCAGGACTCCGACACATGGGCAGCCACAGCCACGAGCCAGCAAAGTTAAGAAAGATACAGAAAAATTAGAAAGGGTCTGGAGGAGGGCAACAAAAATGATCCAGGGTTTGTAAACACTGCCCTGTGAGAGAATGAGAGAACTGGACATGTTCAGCCTCGAGAAGAGAAGACTGGGGGGGGGAGGACAAGATATCCCTCTAGAAGTACCTCAAAGGCTGTCACAAAGAGGAAGGTCAAGCTCTCTTCTTGCTGATACCAGGACAGGAAAGAATCAATTAAAGCTGCGACAACCCAGATTCAGGCTAGATATCAGGAAAAGCTTCCTTGCTGTCAGAGCAATATGAGAGTGGAACCAGCTGCCTGGAGAGGTCATGGGTTCTCTCACACTAGAGATTTTCAAGGCAAAACTGGACAGTCATCTGAGTGGGATGGTGTGAACTGGTGACCTGCAACAACGGGGCTGGACCTGATGGCCTTCTTGGCGCCATCCAACTCTACTGTTCTATGAATCTATGAAAATTAACTCTTGAGGGGTGGTTGGGGAGGGTCAGTGACCCCGGCTTCAGGGATCCAGCACTCCCCTGAGCATCCCTCCAACTAAAATAAGTGAGGCCACTCAGACCCCCCAAGGGGTCCCTCTACTACAAATATTTGCTTCAAATATTTAAAATGACCTCAGACACAAGATGGACCAGGGAGGAGAGGACAAGGAGGAGTGAACTGCAGCTTCCAGGATTTCTTGGGGAGAGGAAAACAAGATTTCACTGCATGATTCCAGGCATTTACACACTGAAATAAGTTCCTTTACTCCCTAGGATGTGGGTTTAGGATTGCAGGCCCAAACGGTGTTTCATGCAGATGTGCCTTCTGAGATATTTTTGTTACTCCTGCATGTGAGGGAAGCTAATTAACATTGCTGTATTTACACCAGGTTTTCAGAACCAGCTGCTCGCTCCTGCTCTCTCTCATTCTCTTTCTCTCTGCCCTTTCTCAGCAGCTGCTGAACACCAATTTGCATGTTATTTACCCTTTGGGCAGAGGGGTGGAGATGGACGCTGCACCTCTGCTGGAGGCAGAAGCACCGTGCACTTCTGGCTCGGCAAAATGGCTGACAGCCTCCTCAAAGCCGTGGATTATTTCTGAGCACGGAATGAAGCTGCTGACTCCGGAGTACAGAACGTGTCCGAGTGTGGGAGGTGAGGGGTGCCAGCCAGACGTGAATGAGGCCTGCACTCAGCATATGCTTCTGAGGAGTTCTCGCCATTTTGTCCCCGCCCCCACCCCGTACTCCTTAAATCTGACATTTCTGTTTGTAAAAATGGGTGGCTCGCTGTTCGCAACATGGCAGGGGTTTTCAGGACCAGCTCAGCCAACAAAGGATGCTTGGGAAGGAGAGTGCCGGACGTGTTCGCTCCACGGGCTTCGTAGGGATTACACCACAAGTACAGGGCAGCTCGAGGGCCCAGCTTGCTCTTTCAATCCAGATGCTTCTCTGGGAGGACAGACAGCAAAGCCCAGTTGTGGGCAGGCCCAAGATCAGCGCTCCTCACCTGGTTCCTGGGCCCCCCACCGCGGGTCTAGCCACACCTTAACTATCCTTTTTTCCCACAATTCCCCTGAGCCTCTCAGCACACCCAGAAATTCAAACGGCCTCCCCCTTCTTGCCTCTATGTAAGTACATAGCCGTGACCCACTGACCTAGAAGGGGGCCCACCAGATGGCATTTGAACAAGAGCTCACTCAGCCTGCCCTGAGGCTAAATCGGCCACCCCTGTTGCCAACATGGGGATGAGGGGATGACCTTTATAGCAGGAGTGGGAAATTCTCAGCTCAAGGGGCAAATTCTATTTTGGAGAAGCTCTCAGAGCTGCAGTCCAGTGATAGGTGGGGTTGAAGGGAAAGGGGAACAAGACATCATATTTTAGATCAGGATTCTTATGGCCAGCTTGAAGTCTTAAGACAGTTCAGCCTATTAAAATGTGTAGAGCCCACGATACACTGAAAAGGTCAGTCTGGGTAGAGGGACAGAGAGCAAGGATGTGTCTACTTGAGGAACTCCAGAGACCTGGATGGGGGTCACCAGAAGGCCAAATTTGGCCCCCAGCTTTAGGCCTCCCACCCCTGCTTTAAAGAGGGGCAGCTATGTCCATGCGAGTTGCTAGAAGTTCATTTTTGGGAAGGGGCCTTCATTCACCACACGCCACTCACAACAGTCATGCTGGCCACTTGTTCATGACTGACTAGGATCATGCAATACATCCTGAAGGTACACAGTGACTGGGCTCAGGCAGCTAAGATAATCCACATCGAAGGCTTGAGTATGGGTTGTTGCTGAACTATACTGAAACACAGGTTAGTGTGTTGTCTGAACCCAGCTGAGATAATCCATGGTGTACAGCCACAGTTCACAAACCAGCGATGAACCCTGGGGGTCATCTCATGGATTGCTCATGATTAACAAACCACAGCGTCCTCGAACAATTGGGTTCAGACAACACATACATTTGTCACAACAACAGCTCATACTCAGCCCTTGAGTGTGGACTGTTGTGTTGTGTGAATGCAGCTGTTATCCCTCCACCATTCTGATGTACCCTTACCATATAGTAAATACAATACAGTGACCCGACAGTGCAGTAAAAGACAGAAACACAACAACTCCCGGGCATCTCTCAGCTCCGCTCACCTGCACAGCCTTGATGATGGCAATGATGCCCGTGGGCCAGAAGCAGCAGATTGTGGTGAGGACGGCAATGGGGAGGTAATCATGTGGAGGGCGCCGCGGTTCCAGAATGGCAATGCCAGGGGTCATCTGTGTTGGGGACAGAGCTGGTGGAGGAGGAGGGTTGGCCTGAGGGTATGGCTGCAAGGGAGACACAAAGACCTGGCATCAGCAGGGGGAGGCCGCCTTTGCCTTTGAGAAATCCCAGAGTCCAGAGGACTATTCAGCAGGACTGGGTGGGAGACCACTTCCTGGATCGTACCACTGCAAGAAGGGGTGGCAGGCTTGGCCGCTCCCCCAGCTACACTGGGGGAAAGGGCTACAGTTCTGCAATAGGGAAGATGCTTTCCATACAGAGAAGGGTCTTTTCTGCTGCTGCTGCTCCCCATCTCTGGCACTCCCTCTCTAGGGAAATTTGCCTGGCGCATTCTCTATTTTCTTTTCCGTGCCGGGTGAAGACGTATCTTTTTAGGAATTTTTTTTAATGTTTAGCCTGTATGCTGTGACCCTTTCTAATTGTTTTTATAGATGTTTAATTTATTCTGTTTTCATTGGTTTTAATGTATTTTTACTTTGTTGGTATGTTTTACATTGTAGGCTGCCTAGGAAGGCCTCGGCAATTATAGGTGGCCCATAAATATATGTAAATAAATCAATAAATGAATCAGCCTGGGATCTCCAAGGGGAGGGGCTAAGGCTAGGAAAGGAAAGGAAAGGACATCCTTTGAAGCCCTGGCTGGTCAGTCTCATCAGTAATGGGCTACATGGACCCCTTGCCTGACTCCACATAAGTCACCTTCTTATCCTACTATGCGGACAAAATCAGCATATCAGAGGCAGGGAAAGGAAGGTTCTAGCCTTGGGTTAAATCCGGTATTCTTCTTGTATGGCAGGACTTCTTTCTGTCCTCCCCTCCACAATTCCCATGTGCCTCCCAGGCCTGTTCTGGAGGATCCCCAAATCCTCTAGAGCAGATTTGCAGCTGGGTGGGGCTGGCAGCGAGGTGGGTGTCCACACCAGCAGCACCAGCTCCACCGGCAAACTGGGCAGCAGTGGACAGCCCCTAATCTTCCTGCCAAATTGTGGTCCATCGAGGTGGTCAATATAGAGACCAAAACTTTTGGAGAGTCACAGCTCTCCCACCTCTGTTGACAACGACGGCTATGGCTGATGGGAACTGAAGGCCAAAATGTCTCGAAGGCCACAAGTTGCTAGCCCCTGCTGAACGGGGTGCCGTCTGTTGAGCGTGAGCTGAAGGCACCCAAGGTAGGCACCCGACTGAAGCTGGACAACATCTGGAGGCTGTCTAGGAGTTATATCCTGCCTGGGGTGGAAGAAAGGGCAGCAAAGGGAAATGTGGGTTCTTGTCATTCAGCATGACATGATCTTCTGAGAGTCTGCTCAGTGAGTGAAAGGCACTGGGAAAGGCAGCAAGCTCTGTATCTAACATTAAAATGCGTTAAAATCAATGATGGGAATCGTCAGCTTTAAATGCTGTTAGGCTACCAGCACGTCTGTTCGAGTGGCTGAGCAGTGAGTTCCCCCTTGAGGCCCCCTCACCATAGAACAAGGCTACTCCAGCCTGGCAGCCTTCAGGTGGGTTGAACTGCAATTCCCATAATCCCATGGGTTGTTGTCCACACACCTGGAAGCTGCAAGGCAGGAGAAGCATGGTGTGCAGTGGCTGTGGACCTAATTGCTGGGGAAGTCTGTGGAAAAGCCGCTTTGTGTTTATTTGCTAGGAAAGCTTGTTACTGATATTCTCATGGAAGAATCATCACTGACTTGGGGAACTGAATGCCTTGCACACAAAGAGGAGAGAAATTCAAAGCACCACCTGCAAAGTGGAAGAAATTAGTCTGCATGCAAAAGACACAAAGGCTTGGCTCCGATTTAACAGGAAACCAGTTTCCCACTGCATGAAACCACACACACTTTCCCTCCCCTTCTCTTTCCCTGCACAAGCAGGAAATCTAAAGCATCAATTTTGTTTTTAAACAAACCACAGTTCCCTGTGATGTCCAGGTTCTGGGAACTATGGTTTGCCTAAGCTAGGGTTAGAAAGAGGATGAGGCTATCTATGGCTATGACTCATGATGACTATTTATTACTTCTAGAATTACAGACTATGCAGCTCTCAAGACCAGTTGCCAGGAAACAAAAGTGGAAGGACACCATTGGACTCATGCTCGGCTTGTGCATTCTCTGGTTGGCCACTGTGGGAAGGGAAGGCTGCACTGATTAGGCCTTTGGTCTGATCCAGCACAGCCCTCCTTGCAAATACAGGCAGAATCAGACTGGCTTGTTTTTAAATATCCATTCTCAGAATTCAGATGCCACAAGGAACAGTGGTCTGTTTTTATAATAGCATTGGATGCTTCTGATATCCTCCTATAGCATGTGGGGAAGGGAAGGGAAGGGAAGGGAAGGGAAGGGAAGGGAAGGGAAGGGAGGTGCATGAAAGCCCATGGCTTACATCAGCTCAACGAGCAAAGGTGCAGCAGCCAAGCGGCTAACCTGTGCACAGTCTCAGGATCCCTTGTCCTGAAACACCTGCGCAGCTGGCCACTTGCTTTCTGGGCTCAACTGCAGGTGGCAGTCTTGACTGATGGTTAAAGCCCTTCCTGGCTTAGGACCCAGTCATTCAGGAATGCCTGCCTCATTATGGACCTTCCTCCATATTCAGATCTGCTAGAGACCACTTGGAGGCCGTGATGATCCACAGAGGCTGGTTGGTTGGACAAGTATGAAGGGGCCTTCTCCAGCATCGTCCCCACATTATGGGGTGGAGCCCTGCCAGATCTACAACTATCCCCCCCCCCACTCCTTAGGTCTCTAGAAAGGGTGTAAAGATGCATCTTTCCTATTTAGCCTTTTCAAATGTCTAGCTTTTAATATTGTGCTGCTCTTAATTTTCTTCCTTTCATTGCTCCAGGTTTTATTGTTTTCAACGGCTGCACAATGCCTTGATGGCCTTTTGGCAGATGAGATAATGCAATGGACGGGCTCTACTGATGAGGAGGCTGTTAAAGTTCAACCAGTAGTATAGTGAGCCTTCCCAGGATCCAAAAGCCAGGAGACCTTCTTAAGAGCCACCGAGGCCTTCTGGCTGGCCCCCAGCTTCTTAGGAGGACCACCAGAGATAATTGCCTTGAAGCCGCCTTCCCTGATCACCTTCCTAGATACCAGGAGAAATCTCACTGTCAGAACAGTAGATCAATGCAACCAATTCCCTAGGGAGGTAGTGGGCTCTCCCACACTAGAGGCATTCAAGAAGTGACTGGACAGTCCTCTGAGTGGGATGGTGTGAACTGGTGTCCTGCAACAGCAGGGGGGTTGGACTTGATGGCCTTCTTGGCCCCTTCCAACTCTCCTATTCTATGACGCCATCATTGTGTAGATAAGAGCTGCTTTTGCTGTGAGAAGTAAAGCAACTCCTCCCACCCTCAACCCCCGTCCTCTGGGAAGAGCAATTTGAGGCTGTGTGCTACTGTCAGAGTCTGCAGTAGCAGGAGAAAGGAACTGTATAAAATCCAGGGCAAGAGGCGTTCTCTTTCGTTCCCTGTCTGGGGAGGGGAATTGCTGAGTCGCTCACTCAGCTACCTGGGAGCCCTCAAAGCACCCCCGGGCCTAGTCAAGGAAGCAAATGCGGCCACCAGTAAAGGGGACGGTGAGCGTTCCCTTGCTTGCCTATGTTCCGCATCCATGCTCATCTCTGACAAAGTGGCTTAGTTTCTTCCCAAGCACCCTTAAATCTCTAGTGAGGCGCTGTGGCCGGGGCAGGCCGCTGGGTTAAAACGAACAGTGTGCAAATGGGAACGACCTCTGTCACGACTCACACCTGGGAAAAGCTGCAGCTTCCTCTGACATCCGCACTGGATTGTTGTTTCTAGGCTGCCCAGAAAGCTCCCTGGTCGAGAGTGCCGAGGGCAGCAAAGAAGTCCCTCTTGTTCATTGTCTGACCGTGGCAGAGACAGGCAGTACCAGCAGGCCATTGTTCATGTGAAAGGACGCCTCCTTGCAGGCGCACGCGAGCAACAGGAGGTGAGCCCAGCTCCAGGCAGGACCGGCCGCCACCGTCAGCACACGGTGCGTATTTATTCGTCTAGCCTTTTGCAGTGATGAGTAATGGAAAGCACCCCAGCAGAAGACATCCCGTTACTTCTGTGCACGGGTCTCCTGCCTTCCCCTTCCGGTGCCGGAACACCTCCCTCCAGCCTCATCTCGACACACCCCGACCTTCTTGGCAGAGGTGCATTTTACATTTCTGACTCTGATGGAACCCTAAATCCCTGGCCCTTGCTGTCTGGCCACCTGCATCCTTGCAGGGGCCATGCCGGGAAAGTCCTTCCGTCCGTCCGTCCGTACTCACCGCTCCGACGGGGTAGACGGGCACGTACGCCGTGCAGGGCTGCAGCTGGACCGGGTAGCCTGGGTGCATGTAGCCGCCAATGGGCAGGGTGCCGACGGGGGGGTGCGTCTGCACTACGTAGCCCTGGGGTGCCCCATTGAACTGAGTCTCCTGCATGTAGGGATCAGGGGGGAGGCGGGGGAGGGTGGCCGAGTGATGGCGGGGCGGGCGGGGGAGGGTGGCCGAGGTGGGGGGCGGGCGAGGCAGAGTGGCGGCCCCTCCGAGCCGGGGCAAGGTGGCGGTGCCTGAGTGCACGCTTGTGGCAGGGGGGTCGCTGTATCCGGGAATGGGGGCATCTTGTGGGGGTGGGGGGGGAGGCTGCAGAGGGGTGTTGTAGGGTGGCGGAGAAGTATGTGGGCCAGAATCAGGCAGTCCTAAAGGGAAAGGGTAATGCAAAGAAGAAAACGTAAAGAAGGTTAAAGAAGTGCCGGCACACGTAGGGTACAATGCAGCTTGAACAACACAACAGATCTTTGTTAGGAAGAGTTCCCCAAAATCCCCATGAGCCATCCTTTCCCAACCTGGTAGCCTTCGGATGGCTTGGACTGCAACTCCCAGAATACCCGGCTATTAACCGTGCCGGCTGAGCCTGATGGGAGTTGAGGTCCACAACATCAGGAGGGCACCAAGTTGGCAAAGGCTGCCATAAAGATCCGACTACTTACATCCATTTCACTGACTAGGTTCTTCTCCCCCTAAGACGCAGTTGAACTAACATTAATTTAACCAGCAGAGTGCTTTGAATCCAAATTCTGCCCTCCAAAGTGATTCTAATGTCTCTGACTCTTATGTCCCCAGCAAATCTGATGCATGGACTCTTCCTTCCACCACTCGGACTCCAGATGAAATCAGCATCCGAGGCAGAGTCCAGTAGCAGGTCAGCGGGTGCTCTCCTCTCTGTTTGGGCTCATCCACACCAAAAGCAGCTCCCCGCTGGCAGAATGCGCCTTTGAGGCCTGCCCAGCTAAACATCAAAGCACTGATCAGAGAGCCGCATGTGACACAGGCTCCCCCACATGGCTTCGTGACAGGTCAATGTGCAACGAAAGAAGACGGGCATGCCACGTTGCCGAACACAGAGCAGAACAAAGAAGAGAGCTGGACACTGACTCTCTCTCATGCGCTCTCTCTCTCTCTCGCTCTCTCTCTCATTCACACACACACACACACACACATGCTGTATTCATTTATTTAATCCAAGAGGTGGGGACCCTGTCCAAATCCACCGCACAAGGACCTCTCAAAAACCGTTGAGTGGCATAAATCTTGAGCCACTCGCGCAAGGCTAGCATGTGAAATCCTATTTCCCCGTCACACTGCATTCCAAGAGCTCTCACCCACCCACACGCACTCCCTATTTTTAGGATAGCAAAGCCCCTCCAGCCCTCCCTCCTCCTGCTCCTGCCCTGCCTGAGATCACCTGTTCCTTTGGGGATGGAGACATTTGGAAGTAGTGCATGTTTAGTGCAAGCAACAATCCTGGGCATGGACGTTTCTCCTCTCTGAAATGAGTCTCCAGGGTGGAATGCTGCCTCCAAGCAGAACCCACACATCTCATTCCATGTTTGGGCTGGCTGTCGCCAGGAGGTGGTGAAGCCCGTGGGCTCTGCATATGCCTGCCTTCCTTCTCCAATTCAGAGCAGTGTTCCTGGCATTGAAAGTGGATTCCAAGACTAAGCCTGGTGGCAGAACAAAGCACGGTGCAGGCTGAAGGATGAAAAGCTCTACGTGCATTTTTCAGATTTCTTCTGCTGGCAAGGATTTGCCATGGGAATACCAAATGTTTGTTTGTTTGTTTGTTTGTTTGTTTGGGATATGTCTAACCCGTCCAATCACTACGCATCTCTGGACAGCTTACAACAATGATTCAATAAATACAACAAAGTAAAACATCATATTAATAGCCCCCAAAATAATAATATTAATAACACTAATAATCCACGACTGGTATTTAAAAACACAATTAATTTTTTAAAACTTTAAAATACTGGGTGAATAAAAAGGTCTTGACCTGGCACTGGAAAGCATTTAATGTTGGCGCCAGGTGGACCTCTCTGGAGAGTAGAGTGCATTTCACAGCCAGGGTGCCGATAACCCACGACTGGTATTTTAAAACACAGTTAATTTTTTAAAACTTTAAAATACTGGGTGAATAAAAAGGTCTTGACCTGGCGCCGGAAAGCATTTAATGTTGGCGCCAGGTGGACCTCTCTGGAGAGTGCATTTCACAGCCAGGGTGCCAATGCAGAGAAGGCCCTCCTCCGGCTATTCTGTCCCCTAATCTCCTTCAAGGAGGGTTCCTGGAGCAGGGCCACTACTGCAGATCTTAAGAGGCAGGAGGCATGTAGAGGAAGAGAGGTTCCTTTAGGAATCCTGGTCCCAAGCCATTTATACATTTTCCATTTTAAGAATGTTGTGGGCACTCTTGCAAATTTGGAGCCAGCAGGGACCCTCCCTGGTCTGATGTAGTGGCACCGGAGGGTCACAAAATATTAATTTCCAAGGGCTCACACGGCTGAGGCTAAAAGAAACATGGCTTTTGTCAGAGCCAGAATACTGGGGAGAGGTGGGGTATCAGCACCAAAAGCAAACCCCCTCTATTGAACCAAAATAAAGATGCCACATCAGGTGGGCTCTCCTAGAAGAACAGTGAGGAGATTATTAAAGTTCAGCAGGAAAAGGTAGTGAATTGTCCCACTGTCCAAAATCCAGACTATTTTTCTGGCGCCACACCAAGGCCTTACACCAAGTACATTCCTTGGGAAAGAGCTGCTTTTGACTCTGGAAGTGTTTCCTTTACTGAAGCAGTTTCGTCCTTCCTTTTCCCCAGAAAGTGGGGCAGAACCTCTGCATGTAACCTCTATAAAATGCGTGGCAAGAGCTGCCATCTTTTGTTCTTGACTTGGGGAGAGGAGATGCTATGTCATTTGCTCAAGCAGCTTTGGAAGGCAACAAAGCCTATTCAGGGATCCAATCTGGCCACGGATAGGGAAGAGTAATATTTCTTTGTTTGTTTATATTCCACATAATCTTCCTTTGTAGTCAATAAAGTGTATGTTATCTTTTCCACAAGTACTTTTTCCCATTCTGAACATCCTCAGCACTGAAGTGAGGCATTCTAGCTGGTCCAGGCTGCAAAGGATTGAGGTAGATGGTGCTAGAAGGCAGCGCTTTGCAATTCATCCCACCCTCCCACTTAAATCAAAATTAATGTTACCAGATCCTAAGAGAGCATAACACTCAAGAGGGGCAGGGACTCTGGTGGGCGCCAGGAAGGGGGGGGGTCTGTGGGCACAAGGGTGCCCAGGAGCACCACATTGGAGAGCCCAGAAAGAGAGGATGTCTTCAAATAGAGGACTGCACTTTCTGAAATAGGCTAGGCAGCCATCTTCCTGATCAGGGGCCCTGTGATTTTGAGGTGCCTGGGACCCAGAAAAGCATGGATCTTGTGCAAATGCATGAAGGGAATGTAAGCACAGAAGAGAACACGAGCTTGAACTGGTCAGGGCTGGCATAAATGACAACCTCCCTTTTTCAGCCTACAGACAGCAGGCAGTTCCTCCAAAGCTTGCAGCTCAAGCTGCTTGGTACAGCTATCAGGTCCAGGCAGGAAAACCTACTTTTCAGACCTAGATTCAGGAACATTTTTTTCTGAAGTTAAATAGCCTCCTCTTCCCAATCCGTACACGCCTTCTGACAAACAAGGTTGCCCTGAAGAGACAGAGTCCTTTAAACACACACAGTCAGCCGGACAGACCTTGCAGCATATACAAAGTGTGTGCAAATGTGTACGTTTTCTGTCCTGCGAGTCTGAGCCCTGGATTTTTGGGGTACCTGGCACCACCCCGCTCAACTGAGCTTCAGCAATTCTGAACATTTTCAAGGGGCTTTCTGAGTTCTACATCTGTCTGTCTGTCTGTCTGTCTGTCTATCTATTCATGAACAATATCTATACCCCATCCTTTACAAGACGTCCCAGGACGGCTTACAATAAATAAATCACAACAAAGTACAACACTGAGCATGACAGCGTTAAAACCTAATTAAAATAATTAAATGTTAAAATAATGGGCAAAAAAAAAAAAGGTTTTTGCCTGGCGGCTGAAAGAATATAATGTCGGCACCAGGCAAACCTCTCTGGGTTGGGTGAATATTCCACAGCCGGGGCGCCACCGCAGAGAAGGCCCTCCTCCAGGTATTCACCCTCCCAGCCTCCTTCAAGGAGGGTTCCCAGAGCAGGGCCTGTACTATATAAGCACATCTCAGCTGTGGTGAATCCCGAAGGATTGTACAAGTGCCCCCTTTCGATTCATAGGTACCTGCTTAAAAGAAGAGAGACGGTAATGACCGAAAAGGGGTAGGAAGGTGCCTTTAAGCATTTGACTAATATGAGGAGGCTGGCCGTGTGCTGCCAGTCTTTTGTTGCTTTGAGGGCAAGATGAAACAGCTTTATGGCCCTTTCAAGCAACTGCCTGTGTTAATGCTGCCTCCTGTATAAGGAGATCATCATTCTGTATTGTTAATTTCCAGGAAGTGCGCTGCATTTTGCTGCCCGCATTCATTTCTCCACCCGCCCAGCCGAGTACTTTATGCTTTTATGAGTTGAGCGCGGCTTATTTTCCGGCTAACAATGCCATCCACTCAGTGGCACCTCTGCACCGAAGAGCTTCAAGGCAACATTTTATTTAATGAGAAGGTTAATCTGATTCAGCTTAATATAACAAACCAGGGAGCTTAATTGGGCCTTTAGTGTGCGTTTGCATTTCCGTTGATCGCAGTGGCAGCTTGTGCTCCAACACAGTATTTTAGTTCTCAATGTCTCTGCAGAGTGATATGGCTCATTCAAGGGCACAGTTTGGGTGCCGAAAAGATCCACGGCTCAGGCCCTTAAGACAGCACACACACACACACACACACACACACACACACACACAAGTTCCTACACTGATTTACATTATGCTCTAACCTCTCTCTCTCTCCCTCTCTCTCTCTCTCTGGGTGGCTTTGGGCCTGCCACGGACTCTCAGTCCAACCTACTTCACAGGGTTGTTGTTGTTGTTGTTGTTGTTGTTGTTGTTGTGGGGATACGATTGAGAGAAGGGGGAGAATCATGTACGCTGCCTTGAGTTCCTTGAAAGGAAAATAGGCAGGATGTAAACACAATTAATTAATTAATTAATTAATTAATGCCTACTTCCTTTCCCCTGATCAATAGTTTGATCAGGCTTCTTCTATCTAAACATGTATAGATTGTGCTCTTAGGCTACAAAATGCTGAAACCAGTGTCCCACCCCCTTTACATTTGCCTACTACAAGATTGCCCCCAAAAGCTTCCCCAAAAGAAATCCAGCCCTCAGGCTGAAAAACACTCAAGGCTTCTATTGGAAAGGAAAAAGGAAGAGACTTTTCCATCATGGAGGAACAAGTAGCATTTGTAGTATGCAAAATGTCTCTGTTACTTCACAGAAACAGAGAACTGGGTGGTCAAACAGTTCCCAACTATACCATTCAGATGTTCAATGGAAACTTGGGTGCTTTCCAAGGACCAAACTGAGAGAGAGAGAGAGAGAGAGAGAGAGAGAGAGAGAGAGAG